TGTTGAATAGGAAAACACTCATAAGAAATGTTTAAGGTCATAGTCCTCGTTAAGGCCTAGTGGTGACAAGGTCTCCAAGGTACTAATCCATTTGGTTTCCCTTTGAAGTAAAAGCTTCTGTCTATCACCACCTCTACGGAGGGGTGGAATTCTATCTATAACCTGAAACCTCAATTGGTTCACATTATGGCCATACGTTTTAAAATGCCTCGGTACCGGAGCCTACACTGTATTATGTTGCAACGCTGCCCTAATGCTCCTTTTGTGCTCCCCTATCCGTTTCACCGGCCGGATGGTCTCCCCCACATATAAGAACCCACAGGGACACTTAAGTATATACACGCCAAAATCTGAGCTGCACATATAGAAGTCTTTAACAAAAAATTTTTTTCCAGACCGAGGGTGAACAAAATATTCCCCCTTGATCACACTACTACAGTGTGAGCAATTAAGGCATGGAAATGTGCCTTTCTTAGGTTCTGAAAAGAATCTGGTTTGTTTTTTAGAACTACCGATGTCTGACCTCACTAAGATGTCCCTCAAATTCAGAGCCCTTTGATATGAAAAAAGTGAAAATTGTTGAAATATCGGGGGTAATTGAGAATCGCCCTGAAATAGCTGCCAATGTTTTAATATAACTTGTCGAATATCCCTATTCAGTGGAGTGTATGGTGTCACAAACGTTAACCTCTCTACCTTATTGTTGGCTCCTGAGCCTGAGAGGGTTTCCTGACGGGAAAGAATTTCAACTTTCTGTCGCTGATTCTCAACTATATGTGTAGGATATCCCCTCTCCACAAATTTGTTGACCATAAAGTCTAATCCTGTAATCACCTTATCCTCTTGTGATACTATCCTCCTCACTCTTAGTAGTTGACTAAATGGTAAACCGTTCTTAAGGTGAATTGGGTGAAAGCTGGCGTATGTTAATAAGTTGTTACGATCGGTTGGTTTTATGTACAAGTCACTGTGGAGACAATTATCTACCCTCTGTACTTGGACATCTAAGAACGGGACCGTAGTCGTGTTGCAATACATAGTGAATTTAATATTAAGATCTTGCATGTTCAAGGAAATCCTGCAACTGGGCCCTAGTGCCGCTCCAACATATGAACACATCATCTTTATATCTTTTCCAAATCAGACATTTCACAAATAAAGGATGTTGATAAATACACGTCTCTTCCAGACGATTTATATAAATGTTTGCATATGTTGGAGCGACATTCGAGCCCATAGCTGTACCTTTAATCTGTTTGTAGTATTTGTCCCCAAACAAAAAATAATTCTCTGTTAAAATAAAGGTCAGTAATTCCCTAATGTATTTTCTGGTGTCCACTTGTTGGGTCAGTTTAGGGTCCTTGTCCAATGTCCAATCAACCGCCTCTATCCCTCTATTATGATCTATGGAAGTATATAACGACTGAACGTCCATAGTCACCAACCAAAAGTCGCCCGGCGGGATCTGTATATCAGCTAACAGTTTGAGAAATATAGTGATATCTTTAAGATATGATTTTTGCAAGAGTTTTTTATTTAAAAAAAATAAAGTTAAAAAAAAGGAAGAAAAATCTCCAACTCGGCTAATTTATTATAACGTATATTTTCCAGTTCTAATATCAATTCATCACTGTTCACTGTTTAGTGAATAAATACCTAATTCCATACACTGGCATATGTAGTAATAAAGCCTAATTAATCACACATTGTTTTTTTGCCATTATAAATAGCTGTCTCTACCATGTCCTCTTTTACAGACCATGCACTCAGCTCTATTTGTACAAGCCTATAGCGATTTTAAATACTGAGTTTATCACCAGTCTTATATTTTCCCACTTTATTTCCCACCACTCATAAAGCAGTCTTGTCATTTTTTTTCTTTCACTTTTCCTTTCCTTATATCCATTGACTTGTTTTTTAATAAGTCTATTGCTCCCTTGCCATTTTCCTTTATTTATATGAATAATTTTTTCTTCCTTAAGCTTGATCTCAATATCCAGGTACTGCCATTTTGTTTTCCTCTGCCTGTCTACAGTGTGCCCTTCTGTGTGATTGATTGTAAGTAAATTAGCTTAGCAACAGAGAATATCACAGTCCCCATAAGAAAAAGTAGTCCCTACTTTTTTCTTATGTAAAAAAAGAAAAACTAAGGTGAACTAAGAATATAATCAAGGGGAAACAGGGAGAAAAAAAAGATTAATTAAATAATTCCAGTTTAAAATTCCACATATGTCTCTTCACACATCTATTTCCCTTGAAATGCCATATTTCCTTTCTTTAGGGTTAAAAAGATTTTCTAATATTAGTGAAGACTTGTTTTGTGGATGAAAGGCAACTGTCCACATAGCTGAAGATTAGTAGAAGACACATGAAGCATGCAAGTTTCAGGTTAGTTTGTCATCAGCTATAATGCGGATTTCCAAAAGTGTCTGGATGTGACAACCTCTGGTTCCGTTTTGGCGGCTTCTCCAGCATGTCCATGAGGCGTGCAAAGCTTGGTCGTTCATCAACATTGAAAGTCCAACATGCAACTAAAATGAACTAAAGTTTACTCACTTTTTTTCAAACCAGAAATTGTACGTGAGGTGGCTCCTGGAAAAAAAGGTTACCTTTTTCTAAAGCTGCAGACATATCTGATTTTGGGAATGTGTTGTATGAACTACAGGCTAGGGACTGTCCTTTCGAAATCTAAGCAGCTGAGACTCTCATCTGTCAAACTCGGTGTGGTAACCGTGTAAAGCAAATCTTGGCTTCCAAGTGTGGGGAAAGAAGTCCCTGAACTTGTAGCTCCAAATTTCCTTTTATATTTTTTTATTATCAATACAATTATATTTTATACCATAATCCACTATCAATCCCTATTTTCAAATGTCATATTCATGTATTTGCAACAAGATGAATTGGACGCACAGGAACAGATGGTGTTGTGGACCTTACTCAAACAAGCTTACATATTATTTATATAAAGTGCATCTTTTATCCATAATTCAATATGACAAATTAATTTTCATGTTTGCCAAATTCAAAGCCAGGTTTTATATAATTCATTCTACGTTCCTATATTTAATTTAATATTTGCCATTTTTCATCCCTTAAAGGACCACTATAGTGCCAGGAAAACATACTCGTAAAACTGCTATGTTTATTAAAAAAAAGGGTTAACCCTAGCTGGACCTGGCACCCAGACCACTTCATTAAGCTGAAGTGGTCTCGGTGCCTAGAGTGGTCCTTTAAACACGGTTTTCATATTTCTCTTCCTTTGGCCTCCCTTGCCATATTGCATCCCTCATGTGCAGGAAATACAGCAGCAAATGTAACTTTACTCATAATAGGGATCTGTGTAGTTCAGAACCATTCTGGAGTGGTATCAATGTATTAGCTATTGAAAGCTCAACAGAAAAGCAAACCTGTACAGTGAGACTCTTTGAATGTTTACTTGTATGACATGCAAGTCAGTATTGGTGGCACGGTTATGTATCAATATTAGTGATGTCTCGAACCATTCGCGAACCTTTCGGCGAACCGTTCGGGACATCACTAATCAATATGTTAATATATGCTGAAAAAGACACATTCATCCAGTTCAAAATGGCACACATCTCCATTTTTTCTGTTCATCCAAAGAAAAGCCAAAAATATAATTTGCAGCGATTTCTAAACGAGAGAAAACAATCCATCTTGACTCACTTTTGTTCATATTTATTTTCTGCTCTGTTCCATAAATGTTGGAGTGCCATGGGTTTCGATTGTACTGCCTGGAGTCAGCACGTGACATGATTGGCAGACAGCGGTATTGTGGCAAATGTTGCTTGGTGGCACCGGCTATGATTTTCTCTTGAACAATCAGAGATTCCCGTAAAACGTGTTTTCTCACTGTAAAATGATGTAGAGTTATGAGAACTAATCTCTCTCTTTCTCTCTCTCTCTCACTCTCTCTCTACACCTATATACTGGCCTCTCTCTTAAACATTTAGAGGAATACTCCAGGCACCATAACCACTGCTGTACGCTGTATTGTTTGTTGTGGCAGGATTGTTGTGCCCCCATTGTAAGGACTTAAACTCTTTAGAACAGTTTGGCCTCTTACCTGGATTCTGTTGATCACTGCTCCCTACCACCACTACCTCAGCCAGAGAGTCGGATCCTGCTTTGGAGCTTCTGTTAGCTCTCCTGAGCTAGGCACTGCAGTGCACGGCCAGCTCATTGGCTGAGAGCGTCGGCTGATCCGGCTCTCTGACTAAGGTAAAGGAGGCAGGAAGCAACATGTGGCAGACCCCAGATTGACTCTCTAAAATACGTGGCTGTCAATGCACTCCTAGCACCATAACCACCATAAGAGCTCAGTAGCGGTTTTGGTACTTGGATTGTTCCTTTAAAATAATAATAATAGTTAGTAGTAGTATTTAAATAAATACAAAACGTATTTACAATAAATAGATTCAAAACACCACCATAATTACGACAATAAAAATATTTTAACGGAAAGCTACTTTTAACATTTTAATAAAGTTTTCTTTGCCTCTCATATATTCACCATGAAGGACCTCTGTGAAAATAACACTTAATTCCTTCAAACAGGCAGCAATGACAGTGCTAGAACTAATAATTCTGCAGCACAAACTTACTGTGTGAACTTTCATTGGAATTGCTCAATTTAATGTTTTCATAATTACTTTATGAAACCCTTAAATCGTTTACACTGCAAATATGAGCCAAGCTTTAACACTGATGTTTAATTAAAGAACCCCTGATTATCCTCCCAGTTATAAAGGGGGGAGGGGGGGTCGGTGGTGCTTTGGAAGATTCTGCCCCCCTGGGCTCCTCTGTATTGTGTGCACCTCTCTCCTTTCTCCTTCCGGGGGCTGTGATTTGCAGCAGATGACCTCAGATGTGGATGCTGTTAAATAGACTGCTAGCTAGTATGATTCTCCTCCCAGTATCCCAGCCCAGACGCCTATTATAAAAGGCAGGCAGCCTCCCCTCCCTGACTCACTCCCTGTCTGCTCTCAGCTACTGTACCTAGCAGATTGGGAGAGGAATTTTACCCAGGGACAGAGCCAGGCAGCTCAGGGAGGGGGGCAGTTTGCAAGGATGGCTACTCTGGTGGGGCCAGGAGCAGACATGGACCCTGCAAAGAACATCCTTAACCCATCTTCAACATCCCCATCGCTATCACACAGGTTCCTTGACAGTAAATTCTACCTGCTGGTGGTGATTGGAGAAATAGTGACAGAGGACCATTTAAGGTGTGCCATCTCTAACATTGAAAAAGGTAAGACACAAAAGGAACTTTCAATCTGTCATTTTGTTTCTCTTCAATTACTAAGCTTTCAGCAAAACCACTGGTTGCTATTTATTTCTGCTTGTAGCCAGAGCTGATGCTGTGCTTTGCCTTGGAGGAAAATTGTCTAGGATGGGATGATGCTGCAAATAAATGTTGCCAGGAAGATTATGATGTAATTTTTTGGGGAGTATTTTTTTTGTTGTTAATGATCAGATGTATGCAATATATGGATTGTTGTATAAAATAAAATATAGTGATTTTTTCCCCTTTTTTTGGAGGTGGTTGGGGGGGTGGGGGCGAACAAAGACAATGTGATGCAGCCACTCCCTTTTTCTGTAGAGACTATATGGTGGGCTGCAGATCATCTAACAGTTGGCAAGGAAGCAGCTCCTCCCACACTGAGAGCTTCACACGAGGGAGACAGCAGTGAGCTTGAAGAATACATTTTGTAACATTGTTCATGCAGGATAATGGGAGGATGATCTGACATTCTGGATACAGTGTTATTTCGTGATGCGCAGGAGAGAGAATGATTTGGGGTTACTTTGCAGTTCTACATAGAGGCAGCTTGCATTGATGCACATTTAGCTGATCTGATGGACAGTTTTTAATGAGAATGCAGCAAATAAAGTGTGTGGATGGCCAGTAGCACCTAGATTGGTCCCTCCTAGGTGTGCTTGCAATCAAGGCTCTGGTGTTTCTAATTATATCTAATTTCCTGGCTCCCATCACAAGGACATATAAAGATCACAGGCTCATACATAGTGACCTAAAAGGCAACATGCGGGTACATTGCAAGGGCACACAGTCATAGAGAGGACACATAGATCCCACACAGTTACATATTGGATATTATCAGAAATCCCTCACTGAGTGACCCACCTACACTGGGAGCCAGGAATCAGCATCAGGACCTGTCATAGAGCAGAGAGGGAGGAAAGGCTGCGCCTTATCCAGGGCACCCCACCCACTATGTTGGCAGCCACATGCTTTCCGTGGGTTGTTGGTATTGCCCAGCTGCCCTGGTTTCCTTATTATGCTCCTAGATCAGTTTATCTTAGTCTCCATTTCATGATACATAGTGTGATTATAATACAGTATTGGAATATCTGCATAGGATGCAGCAGGCTGTGATGTCCATACTAATGAGCCTGGCAGCATTGATACTCTGCATTGTGTATTAGTGGGCACGGGGGGTGGTGGTGGTGGTGGTGGCTGGATTCCCTGGTGGCTGTGGTGGTGGCTCACGGTGCCCTTGCGGCAGGGCTGTGTGCATTGCTGGAATGACACTTGAAGCAGAGATGCCGGCTGGTGGGCGTGGCGCACTCCGCACTGCGGTCCCTATGGCAGCGCACAGTGGACAAAGAGCGTTCATGCAGGCAGCGAATAGAACGCGGTGACTGCTGCTCTGAGCAATGTGTGCAGCATGGAACGTGGGGGATCGTTACTGTATCAACCCCTGGCTGAACATTCTGACACCATCATAGCATCCCCACACAGCAATGGAGCTCTCTGAAACAGTCTGATCCACACTGTCACTCATCACTCTAAACCAGGCAACCTGCAACGCCCATCCTGCTCAGGCAGCCAGACATTTACATCCAGGGATCAACCATCTAACAAGAGAAGACTGAGCACAATCATATGGAAATAACTCACATTAATAAAATAATAATATGTATATATATATATACATATATTTAATTCGTGCCTATATATATATATATATATATATATATGTGATGCTCTAAATAACAAGGAATTCTGTAACACATTATCTTAAATATAATAATTTTCAATATATTAAAAAAATAAATGCCAAATTGCTTTATTCCATATAATCTGTATGTGTCGTGTATTGGCCTAATGGCAAGTTGAATTAGCTGGTTATAAATGCTGTGTCATTATTTGTAAAAGTCCTTGTAATTGTATTACAGATGTTTCAATCCTATATTTATTAAGGCTATTTTTATAATTTCAGGATTTTTGAAAACGAATTACAAATTTAATGGAACATAACACACATTGTAGGAATCATTGAGACTGTAGATGACACACCCATTTTTTATTGCCAGCAAAAGAACAAACATAAATAGTTAATAATCTAAATTATAAAAAAAAAAAATCTTAAATTAAACTCTTGTTTGTCCTATGAGTTTTAGAACTGTAACTAATTTGTAATTGATAATAGCACAGATCCCGACAGCAAGTTTACTATTATAATGTTTTGGTTTTTAGTTTACTTGTGAAGCGCCATCTTGTCTGATGAAGCCACACCCCTGGCAGCTAATGTTAAGCATGCAATATCTGGATAACCCAATCAGGGTTAGTCACCAAAGTGTGAATTGTCCAGAATTCTGAGTAAATATCAACGTTAATTTAAAATGTAGGACAAAACAGCTGAACATAAAACAACAAAATATCTTTTTTTTTCCAATTTTTAATTTTTTTATTTTGAGTATCCTGAGCTGAAATTTGACATTCACTCCGAATTCGCTTTAAATTCCCGACATTTCACACTTTCATGGGTTTTTGAATATGTAAGAATGCTTGGGATAGGAGATGGCAGGGCCCACACCCTGTGTTTCACTGCCTCTGCTTCAGCATCCCCTTTGCTGACTTGCTTATAATAGCACTGCAGCCTAGAACACAGCATTTTCCTCACAGTAAGCTCAACTAAAGGCCTTTCTGTACGATAACATGATACAGTTAATACTACATTGTCACATCTAGTCTGATGTCATCACATATATATAACAGGAGGGCAGGTATTGAAACTGGGTGCTTAGTCTAATGTTCAGGAGGGCGGGTATTGAAACTGGGTGCTTAGTCTAATGTTCAGGAGGGCAGGTATTGAAACTGGGTGCTTAGTCTAATGTTCAGGAGGGCGGGTATTGAAACTGGGTGCTTAGTCTAATGTTCAGGAGGGCAGGTATTAAAAACTGGGTGCTTAGTCTAATGTTCAGGAGGGCGGGTATTGAAACTGGGTGCTTAGTCTAATGTTCAGGAGGGCAGGTATTAAAAACTGGGTGCTTAGTCTAATGTTCAGGAGGGCGGGTATTGAAACTGGGTGCTTAGTCTAATGTTCAGGAGGGCAGGTATTAAAAACTGGGTGCTTAGTCTAATGTTCAGGAGGGCGGGTATTGAAACTGGGTGCTTAGTCTAATGTTCAGGAGGGCGGGTATTGAAACTGGGTGCTTAGTCTAATGTTCAGGAGGGCAGGTATTAAAAACTGGGTGCTTAGTCTAATGTTCAGGAGGGCGGGTATTGAAACTGGGTGCTTAGTCTAATGTTCAGGAGGGCTTATTGAAACTGGGTGCTTAGTCTAATGTTCAGGAGGGCAGGTATTAAAAACTGGGTGCTTAGTCTAATGTTCAGGAGGGCGGGTATTGAAACTGGGTGCTTAGTCTAATGTTCAGGAGGGCAGGTATTGAAACTGGGTGCTTAGTCTAATGTTCAGGAGGGCGGGTATTGAAACTGGGTGCTTAGTCTAATGTTCAGGAGGGCAGGTATTAAAAACTGGGTGCTTAGTCTAATGTTCAGGAGGGCGGGTATTGAAACTGGGTGCTTAGTCTAATGTTCAGGAGGGCAGGTATTAAAAACTGGGTGCTTAGTCTAATGTTCAGGAGGGCGGGTATTGAAACTGGGTGCTTAGTCTAATGTTCAGGAGGGCAGGTATTGAAACTGGGTGCTTAGTCTAATGTTCAGGAGGGCAGGTATTGAAACTGGGTGCTTAGTCTAATGTTCAGGAGGGCAGGTATTAAAAACTGGGTGCTTAGTCTAATGTTCTTAGTTGCACCTGATCAGTTATGTCCAATTGTCCATCTGTCCTGATTTTACACAGCAAAATCCTCATCGAGGTATATGCATCCTCTACTGTCCTTAATATAAAATCAAATGTTTTTCTAAATAATTTGAGGCCCAACATGCTTAGTCACATTAAAGTGAAAAATGTTCTTGAAGGTCCCAAACTGCAATAACTAAAGCGAGATATCAATGTTTTACTCCAAGAAACTTTATAAATCACATTATCCACTAAACTGAATTGGAGAAATTAATAAAATGAAAAAGACTGCAGCTCAGCATTTATAGTTTGATGTGAAATTTGCAATCCTCTTGTTGATGGTCTACAATTCCCATTTAAGTAAAGAAACCCAGCAGGTTGTGGTACAGGAGCAGATTGGAAAAGTTTGGTACCACTAGAGCTCGAGTACAGGCCATGTTTGCTTCAAAATGTCTGTGGAGAGTTATTGACTGTGAAAGGGATTGGACAGAATTGACTAGGGAAATGTAAATATCTATAGTCTAGACTAAAGTAATCAAACTGGAAAAATTATCCAAGGGCTAGTTTTTTTTTCCTTATTTTATCCTAAAATCATTTGCAACTCTACACAATTCCTGTTTTAGTAAATACACTCTTCCGTGAATATGTTGTTTAATATTATTGAGGTAACAAATTTCTTTATAACATCGGTGTTGAGCAAAGCAGGGGAATATGCATAGTGAATATTTTTTTAGAACATTTTTGGCTGTTTTTACTAACGTCACATGGTGTTAGAGGAGTAGCTCTAAAGGGCCATAGTGCAAAAATAAATGGATTCTATTATTACTATTAGTCCAGAGAAAAATCTATGGGCCACTTGAGACTATTGAACTACGAAAATATATGGTTAAGTGTAACTAGTGGATATTTGTGTGTCAGCCACACCCACTGTGCCTAAGTATGGTGTATAAGTCCGTTTTGTGCGCCTAAGTATGGTGTATAATCCCGTCAGGGTGTATCTTAGGATCATGGTCCTGATATAAATGCTTAATGGGTTTATTAAAATAATGCCCTTGCTCAAAGTATATAATTATATATGCAATAACCCAATGTCTTTGATGTGTCCATGTGATGGAATGTTAAGTGGATATAACACTCCTGAATCATCATATACGTGGGATAGCATTCTCGTCACTTTTAACAGAATAAAAAGTATAAGGGTGTGTAGTGTCACGTGTTATTTTTGGAAACACTAGTCCAATAGATCCATACAAAACCCCTCAAATAGTAAAGTGAAAGTATAGAATTTTTTAGAATAATGGCAAATATTCGCTGTCTGGATCAATTACTGCACCCAGCATTGCATTACATTATAGTTAATATGAATAGGTCTCTGGGGCTCCCTGTGTAATGGTCTTCAGGCAGTCATTCCGAGTCAATTAGCAAGTAAGGAAGAGGAAACATGCTATGACATCATTCATTACTCTGTTCTTCCTTTTTCGTCCCTGAATTGGCAACCTCTCTATTGCGCTAATGTAGTGTGATGCGTAGGGGAGTGTATATCCTTCTTAAACCAAACCCAACATCTTGGCTGCCTTTGAATAAATGTCATGGAATCCATGTTTTGCCTGTCTGGTTTGAGGGCTGATTGTTTCACAATAGATTTGGAGTGCTGTATTTCGCAGACAGGGCTGTTGTGTTCTAATACTATATATTATATGTATTGTATATTATATATTTAAGAGTTATTTAATTATTGCTATCTATGGCATGATATTGGCTATATTATTGAAGCAGGTTGAATTCTGCCTCTCCTTAGGCAGGATACGTTGAAGGCCCTCCATTGATGTGAGAGCTCATACAGTTCCAAGTAATATACATAGCCTTTATTATCCATATAAACTAGTGATTTTATCTGGTCCCAACTTGTAAACTGAGATGTCAGAATTGGTTTTAGAAATAATTGAACAATTGGGGCTAACAGGTGATTGATTTGCTTTAAAAAAACGTGGCTTGTTAACGCTGGTTTAAATAAAAACAATTCATGGAATTGGATAGAAAGGTTAAACACACCGAAATGTGCACTCTAAACGCTAAAAGGTGAGTCCAGCCCTCGTTCCCTCAACCCGCTGTTTACTAAGAGGCATACGTTTCAAACGTTTGTCTTGTATTATAGCTTCTCATAGTGGAAATGTTTAAAAATGTATATATTTAAAAGCACAATTTTAATATATAAGCTAGCGGGCATGAATCAAGGTGTTTTGCAGTTTTTACAACGTTTCTCTTGATATTGAAAGTAGCTGGTTGGAGGATGACTGAATAATAGGTGTTATAGTTCAATAATGGCTGTGGATGTGTACCTTTTCTACCCCTATATTATAATTTCATTTTTGTATTATTTTACTTAGTTAACTAATTCCACATTGTGACTTGAGAATTTTGCTAAAATTGTTTCATATCACACTCATTTCCATATTCTTAGTTCACTATTTTTAAATCAGAGGTTCCCAGTAAGGTGAGCAACACAGATGAGGCCGTTCCGTCTGTACATCATATTACCCATTAGAAAAAGGCTTGGAACAGACTGGATCTTGAAAGAGAAATGAATCAACAAACAAGGCCTAGGAAGAGATATAAAGGAAGCAACTGTATCTGAGAGCAAAGCTGGGGGAGAGGGATTTGAGCAAAAAGTTGGAGATATACTTAAGAAATAGTTTGTAAGAAGCAACTTAGAAAGAAAATGGCTAAAGAGATAGTTTTTTTGTTTTTTTTAAATGGAGAAATGCTTGTAGACAGAAATTCGAAGATGGGGGGATAGCTGAGAACCAAGAAGGACGAGAAACCTGGGAGTGCGAATGAAAAAGAGAACAGAGAATAGAGAGGAACTTACTGAAGGAAAATGGCTGCTAGTCTAAGCCAATCGGTAGATCCACATTCATAAAAAAACAGATTGAGTAACGCATGTATGATTCTTAAACCATTTTGTGAATGGGAAGATACTGATTGTCTGAAGACGTCAGCTGACCACTCTAAGCCAATCTCCGGTTCCCTGGCCCACTGTGGTTCGAGGCTTCTCTTCTTGCATATTTTTGAAAGCGGATACGGGAAGGGGCAGAGCAAAACTGCACTTGAGAAGAGAATTTGGGGTTAAAAGCTTGGTAAACAATGTAACCACTGAAGGTAAGCCTGAAGTTGTTATGATACCTGGAATGTTCCTTCTATTAGAGGAAGTGTGGCAAAGAAACTCAGTCCAAGGTATTTAGTTTGACCAACCTGACCCAAACTACCCGGCAGAAAAGCTGTGAGATTTCGTGTCCATATTAGCATTTTGTATGAATGAAGATCTTTTTGGATAGTAAGAGGTTCCATATTTTTGCCTGGAAGTTTCCCTCACAGACAGTTATGGGAAACACAACTCATCCTCATTTTACTGCATGGGGATATATTTAGCTCAGCTCAATTTCCCTGCTTGGCAATGCATCCATTCTGACATCACCTGATGATGATGATATTGTTGTTGTGTCATTGATGCAGCACCAATTTGTAGGCTTGTTGGGTGGAGCCCCTTTTTTTTTTTTTTTATTCTTTATTTTATTTGTGCAAGGGTTCAACACGTCATGCTTACAATGCCACAACAGCAAGGGTGAACAGTTATATAGACATCGTGTTACAGTAGTCAGGCATTAGAGGTTACTGCACATTTTTATGTATAATTGTTGCTTATCAAGTAGTTTTTCAGTTCAGCTTATCGGAAAAAGTGTGGTACAAGGTTAGATCAAACATGTCAACATGAAACAATGGGAGATTAATGCCATAGATTGGAACGTTGCTTCTTTATCGTACAATGCTAGCGCGGCTATGGTGAATAGTCAGTCCAGCTAGTGGTTACATTAACTATGTTTGAACTGCTGCAGTTTATTTCAATATATAATGAAAGTCGATGTGCTTCAGGCTACAGCGCATTAATAACCTGGTTGGGCTGCGTGGTCATTATACAGTACAGTATGCTTGGTCTATCCTATTAGTAAACGTATGGGTCACAGACGCGGACCAAAATAAAGTGAGACATTGTATTACATTTAGAAGCACATTTTTTGGGTTTGGTGAGGAAGAACAGTTTATAAAAAAACAAGTTAGGTAACTTAATAGTGCTCGGTCATGCATTAGGCAGCTTCTAAAGTAGCGGTAGCATATATCACGACTTGCGCATTACATGCTGCATTGCAAGTGTTGGTGAAGGCATGTTAAAGGCGTCATAAGTTGTGCACAAGTGAACCTATATAGCAGTAAGAATATATTTATAGATATGCCCTATTGTATAGTCTAGGCCTATATACCGTGCGTTTGGAGTGGGCTAATTTTTGTAGGCGTCAAACGGCATTCAATGTGTAAAGGCTATTCATTAATAGCTAAAAGTTTATTATGTGTGGCTTTAATAGCCTGCGTGTGAAAGTTGGGCCGATGCGTATGAGTGGAGAGTCTACAGCAGGCCTGGCATTCCTCCGTGACAAGAGTATGTGTGGTGACAGATTTCTGGTGCCAATGACTGACATGAGATGTCACGTTGGGTTTAATATGCTCGTAAGTGGAGGGTGCAAATGTTGGTATATGTGCCTGAGCTGTGTCGTCCACCAGAAATTTATATTATAGTAATCCTTTGAGGCATAACGTTATGTGTGTTGAGGTTACATGACTAGCGTATAAACATATAATAGAACCAACTGACTGGTGTCTTTAACCAAGGCTGGCTGTTCAGGTATGTGAGCCAAAGCCCACAGAAGTAACAGAAAATGAAGAGGGAAAAAAGAAAACAGAACAAAACTAAAAAAAAACAACAAAAAAAACATTAAAATGTGCCGATGTGGCTCAACTATGTTAGTCCGATTGTCCGGTTTGGCGTCCCCCCATGGTGCACAGGTCCCGTTTTCTGCATAGTTGTGTGGGAACTTCGAGTTATAGGTGTACCTGGACTCTCGGGCTGTCGGGGGTATTTATAGTGTTGTACAGTTCTTTATGCAAGTCCTGCAGGGTTTGTCCTGTTTCAAGTGGTGGCCTTGGCGTATGAGTCCGTGGTTGTTCTCCGGGATACAAACTCCGGGGCATCGGCTGAGTATCTTCCTTGTGGGCGCGTTTGGCCTGCTGGTCGCGTCATCGGAGCCAGTGAGTCCGTGGGGAGGCCAAGTAGACTCAGCGTCCTAGTGGCCTCTTGCATGTCGTGAAGAGTATGTTTGTTACTTCCTGCTTCAATGGTGAGAGTGCGACCTGGTCCCCAATGGTACCGGATTTGATGGAGGTGCAGGAGAGCTGTGAATGGGCTCATGTGTCTCCTCCACGCCAGTGTCCCTCCGGACAGATCCGCGTAAAATGAGAGGGTCATTCCCCCAAAGGGATATGTGGGCTGTCCTCTAACGGTTTCTAGGACTGCTTTTGTGTCCTTGACAGGGGCGTTTTAGCCGCGAGGCAAACAAGGCATTTGCCTTGGGCGGCATTTTTCAGGGGGCGGCAAAAAACGCTGCCCCCAAATGCCCAGGGCAAATGCTTTGTTAGCCTCGCGGCTAACTGACCGGCCGGGCGCTGGGCGGGCGGCTGGCGAGGGAGCTCTTCCTCTGAGCTGTCCGCTCAGCTCCCTCGCGCGCCGCAGAGTGAGGCTGGGAGCCGGAAGATGACGTCATCTTACGGCTCCCAGCCTCACTTTGCGGCGCGCGAGGGAGCTGAGCACAGCGCTCAGGGGAAGAGCTCCCTCGCCAGCCGCCCGCCCAGCGCCGCCCAGCCGGCAACCACTGGACCACCAGGGAGGTAATGAACCCCTCCCCCCCAGCACTCCCAAAGGTAAGGAGGTGGGGGGGTAAATAAAAATAAATAAAAAAATGTGTTAATGTGAGTGAGTGAGTGTGTGTCTGTTAATGTGTGTGTGTGTTTTGTTAGTGTATCTGACTGTGTGAGTGTGTGTCTGTTAGTGTGTATGTGTGTGTGTCTGACTGTGTGTCAGTGAGTGTGTGTTTGCCTGTGAGTGTGTGTTTGCTTGTGAGTGTGTGTGTGTGTGACTGTGTGTCTGAGTGTGTGTCTGTTAGTGTGTGTGTTTGCCTGTGAGTGTGTGTGTCAGTGAGTGTGTGTCTGTTAATGTGTGTGTGTCTGTTAATGTGTGTGTGTGTGTTTGTTAGTGTGTGTGTGTCTGACTGTGTTTGTCTGACTGTGTGTCAGTGAGTGTGTGTGTGTCTGACTGTGTGAGTGTGTTTGCCTGTCAGTGTGTGAGTGTGTCTGTTAGTGTGTGTGTTTCTGTTAGCGAGTGTATGCATATCTGTCAGTGAATGTATGTGTGTGTGTGTATATTTAGAAGGCGGGTTGTGGGGGGGGGGCGCCTGAGTTTTGTCCTGCCTAGAGCAGCACAAAACCAGGATACACCACTGTGTGTGTGTGTGTGTGTATTTAGAAGGCGGGTTGGGGGGGGGTTGGCGTGGGGTGGGGGGGGCCTGCGTTTTGTCCTGCCTAGGGCAGCACAAAACCAGGATACATCACTGGTCCTTGAGTGACTGAAATTGGAGAATTAGGTCCCCTGTTGCAGTTGGTGGGGCCTTTGCTGGTCGCGGTATGCGGAATATTCCTTCCAAGGTGGTTGCTTTCGCTGCTTTTGGGGTTAGTAGCTCTGTAAGTAATCTCCTGACGAAATGTTGGAGTTCGGTCTCTGGAACGGTGTCGGCTACCCCCCTTTATATTATTCTGACGATTTTTATCTTCGTGAGCGGCAAGTTGCTGTTCGTGGTGCTGAGCTTTTTTTTGCAGGTCTCGGATCGCTTCTTGGATGACTGCAATCTGGTTGGTGTGGCCGGTGGAGGAAAATTCTACTGCTCCCAGCCTGTTGGTGATGCCTTTAATGTCCTCTCTGAGCAGGGCCACATCATCTGCGATTTTCTTATGATGGTCGGCCATAAGTGCTCCATGGTCACAGGGGTGTGAGGCTTTGTGAATGGCTGTGCCTGGGTTGGCGACTGAAACATAGAAACATAGAAACATAGAATGTGACGGCAGATAAGAACCATTCGGCCCATCTAGTCTGCCCAATTTTCTAAATACTTTCATTAGTCCCTAGCCTTATCTTATAGTTAGGATAGCCTTATGCCTATCCCACACATGCTTAAACTCCTTTACTGTGTTAACCTCTACCACTTCAGCTGGAAGGCTATTCCATGCATCCACTACCCTTTCAGTAAAGTAATACTTCCTGATATTATTTTTAAACCTTTGTCCCTCTAATTTAAGACTATGTCCTCTTGTTGTGGTAGTTTTTCTTCTTTTAAATATAGTCTCCTCCTTTACTGTGTTGATTCCCTTTATATATTTAAATGTTTCTATCATATCCCCCCTGTCTCGTCTTTCCTCCAAGCTATACATGTTAAGATCCTTTAACCTTTCCTGGTAAGTTTTATCCCGCAATCCATGAACCAGTTTAGTAGCCCTTCTCTGAACCCTCTCTAAGGTATCAATATCCTTCTGAAGATACGGTCTCCAGTACTGTGTACAATACTCCAAGTGAGATCTCACCAGTGTTCTGTACAATGGCATGAGCACTTCCCTCTTTCTACTGCTAATACCTCTCCCTATACAACCAAGCATTCTGCTAACATTTCCTGCTGCTCTATTACATTGTCTGCCTACCTTTAAGTCATCAGAAATAATCACCCCTAAATCCCTTTCCTCATATGTTGAGGTTAGGACTCTATCAAATATTCTGTACTCTGCCCTTGGGTTTTTACGTCCAAGATGCATTATCTTGCACTTATCCACATTAAATGTCAGTTGCCACAATTCTGACCATTTTTCTAGTTTACCTAAATCATTTGCCATTTGGCTTATCCCTCCTGGAACATCAACCCTGTTACATATCTTAGTATCATCAGCAAAAGACATACCTTACCATCAAGACCTTCTGCAATATCACTAATAAAAATATTAAAGAGAATGGGTCCAAGTACAGATCCCTGAGGTACCCCACTGGTGACAAGTCCAAGCTTCGAATATATTCCATTAACTACAACCCTCTGTTGCCTGTTACTCAGCCACTGCCTTACCCATTCAACAATATTTTAATCCAAACTTAAAGATTGCAGTTTATTGATAAGCCTTCTAAGTGCAACAGTGTCAAAAGCCTTACTGAAATCTAGGTAACCAATGTCTACTGCACCACCCTTGAAATCCATGTGTTTTTAGATGTTCATCAATCCTATCCTTTAACATGGTTTCCATCACTTTCCCCACTACTGAAGTAAGGCTTACTGGCCTATAGTTGCCCGACTCCTCCCTATTACCTTTCTTGTAAATGGGCACAACATTCGCTAACTTCCAATCTTCTGGGACTACTCCTGTTAACAATGATTGGTTAAATAAATCTGTTAATGGTTTTGCTAGTACACCACTAAGCTCTTTTAATAGCTTTGGGTGTATGCCATCAGGTCCCATTGACTTATTTGTCTTTACTTTTGACAGTTGAAATAGAACCTCTTCCTCTGTAAACTCACGTGTAATAAATGACTCATTTATCCTTTTTCTCAACTGAGGTCCCTTTCCTTCATTTTCATCTGTAAATACAGAACAAAAATATTCATTGAGGCAGTCAGCTAGACCTTTATCCTCTTCTACATACCTTCCTTCTTTTGTTTTTAATCTAACTAATCCTTGTTTTACTTTTCTTTTCTCATTTATGTATCTAAAAAATGTTTTATCCCCCTTTTTTACTGACTGTGCTATTTTTCTCTTCTGTGTGTGATTTGGAAGCTCTTATAACTTGCTTAGCCTCTTTCTGCCTAATCTTATAGATCATTTTGTCTTCCTCACTCTGGGTTTTTTTTATAATTCCTAAATGCTAACTTTTTGTTTTTAACTATTTTGGCCACATCTGCGGAGTACCACAGTGGTTTCTTGAATTTTTTGCTTTTACTGACAAGCCTAATGCAATTTTCTGTTGCCTTCAATAGTGCAACTTTTAAATAATCCCATTTCTCTTGGACTCCATTTAAATTGCTCCAGTCTGATAATGACTCCTCTACCCATATTCTAATTTTAGAAAAGTCTGTTTTTCTAAAGTCTAAAACTTTTGTTTTTGTGTGGTGTGACTCAGTCACTGTTCTTATATTAAACCACACTGACTGATGATCACTGGATCCTAAACTTTCACCTACAGTAACATCTGATACCAAATCTCCATTTGTTAACACTAAATCTAGTATGGCCTCTTTACGAGTTGGCTCCTCAACAACTTGTTTTAGAGACAATCCCAGTAGGGAGTTTAGAATATGTGTGCTCCTGGCACAAGTAGCTAATTTTGTTTTCTAATTTACATCAGGAAGATTAAAGTCACCCATGATGATAACTTCCCCCTTCATTGTCATTTTAGCTATTTCCTCAACTAGTAGATTATCTAACTCTTCAATTTGTCCTAGGGGCCTATAAATCACACCTACACGAGTTACTGTGTGATTACCAAATTCTAACGTAGCCCAAACGGACTCTATGTTTGCCTCACTAACTTTTATTAGGCTAGATTTTATGCTATCCTTCACATACAAGGCCAAAGACTGGGTCGGTATGGACCCCATGGGGTCTCCCCCGTCATCCTCCGATGATCCATCAGTGAAATATGAGCAGCCGCCGTGCAGGGACGCCATCTTGGCTCCTGCAGCATCGTGCGCCTGCCTCCATAATTCTCCGATATCCATGCCCTGGCGGGGCTTGTCAGGTCTCGCTTTTTTAGTTTTTCTGCCCATCGTGCCTGTGGGGTCTCGGGATCGTCCCGGGAGAACTTTGGAGTGGGTTGGAGTGCCGGTAATAAGGTTTATTTTGCTTGTCGGTCTGGAGCTCCACGGCCATGCGACCGTTCGCTTCAGACGCTCTGTACAGTCCGGGTGGAGCCCTTTTATGTGCATATTCTGACATTATTTAAATGGCATTGAGCTGGAATCTCCGAGTAACACTTAGACCAATGGGACTATCTCCATCAAACGCACATACGTCAGCAGCTACCGTATGTGAATTGTTAATGAAGTTACATTCTGCTCCACTTACAGAACGATTACTTCATGGCACTTTTATTGCTCTGCTGAGATGTAACCATAAAATGAACGACCTGTGCACTAGTTCATGTGATTTTTAATACAGTGCTGACTTTATCTCAGATTGAAAATCAGTTGATATTATGAGTTTAATTACAAAAAAAAAAAAATCACATTAGGTTTCTGACGCTCGTGTTTCAGTTCCATACAGTGCTAGATCTACTTTTTGATAGGCAGTGTGTTCTCCATTAAAAAGTGGGTTGTTGGAGAGTTTAGTTGTGATTTTGGTATTTTTTAAGAGGTGGAATTATTCAGTGAACGGGTTACATATTGCCTTGATTAACCTTCCCTTTTTCTTTTAGACTTTGTCCATTGATTTCATCTCTTCCCTCCCCCTGCATGTCCTTTTTTTTTCCGGCTACACTAAAAGCATATTGTTGGTCATGCATATTTTATAATGTCGAAGTAAGGCCATCGCAGGTGGGAGGTGACCTAGTTATGGACTTGCGATGGTGCCAAGGGCGCAGTATTTTTTTGCTGCAAGAGCTAAGCTTTTCTGCACTGGAGAAATGATCAGCTGTAAAAACTGCAAAATATGGCAGTTCTGTCACATGAAGGGCACACATTGCATTTGTAACTGTGAATTCTTGTATCTATTTTAACCACTTTGGTCTTCATGTTGATAAAGTAAAATATGGAAATTTAGCAGGTCAGCCCAACAGATCATGCTCGTGCATATAGTAGCCAAAGGGAGGGTTTGAACCTTTTGACTTGTGGGACAAATATGAAAGAATCTAAATGTTTTGAGTGCTAACCTCAGATCTCTGTGTGAAAGGCTCTATTCAGGGTTATGCATGCAGTATACAAGTTGAGAGATTCTGTTTCCCAAAACTCCACTGCCAAAGACGGTGACTGGAACATGTGATAAGTGTTTTGAGCACTGTCTCATCTCAATCCAGCTAGCACTTGCTTATGTGGACACAGTACATACTCATCATAGTCTGGCAGTGTGCTCAGCCCCAGATACTGCAGTCTCCCCTGCAATATTCCAAAGAGGCAAACTGGGCCAAGAGGGAGTGAGATTAAAGTCCGCCAGTGGAAGTACAAATCCACATAGTGCTAGGTTGGCAATGTCCTTGCAGAATTCCTACCTACTCCCTCACTTCTGTGGTGCTGCTGTGAGGCGGTGGCCCCCAACTCTTTCCAGTGGAGGAATTACCACCTGTGCAGTCTGTGTGACTGCACTGGGGTCCGCAAGCTAAGGGGGCCTATTGAGTAGCTCATACATTTAGAGCCACGCGATGACTATCTTTGATCTGGGTCCCGGTAAGATGTTGCTGCCCTTTAACAGCGCGACCAGGCGCCCTGTCCCTGTGCTGGGAGGAAGTGAGTACACACTACTTCCTCTGAGTTATTTTCTCCAAGAACAAATCACTTTCCCAAGTACAATTTACTTCCTCCCAGTTTACCAACAAGCTACATTGGGATAGGGAAAGGGAGGACAATAGACCAGACTTCCACTAGTCAAATGCCAATGGACTCGAGGGAAGCCACCCTCCAGCACCAAAAATATATGGGAGCAGGGGGTGGCTAAAAACATGTATTTGTGTGTGTTATCTGTGTGTGGGTGTATGTTATATGTGTCAAACAGGAGGGATAAAGGTTGCGCCAGAAATTATAAAAACAGATGTTTTATAACATATATATAAAAATTAAAAATAAATATATAAAAAAGCCTAATATATGTATAGGAGGACAAACAAAAAAAAGCAAGAAATTTCAAATATAAGTCCAAGTGTGAATCTAAATGGTAAAACTTGCTGGAAGATAAAACCTCAAAGAGTCGGGGTAGTTCCTCTGGAATGGGGTCAGATCAGAGTATTCTTGGCAGCCATATATGCACAGAAAGAGAGAACTACACCCTTATTATGCAAATTCTATTTAAGTGTCACAAAGATGAACTATTTTGTTTTTCAGTTTAACTCATGTATGGCATTGTGTCCCAGGGCTCTTTTGATCACTGAAAACAATCTCGGACACCTGTGATAATTAGATTGCCAGGTGAGCCCAATTTAAGGAAAAACTACTAAAGGAGGGTGTTCCACATTATTAAGCAGAGCACCATTTTCATGCAATATGGGGAAGAAAAAGGATCTCTCCACAGCCGAAAAGAGTGAAATAGTTCAATGCCTTGGACGAGGTATGAAAACATTAGATATTTCACGAAAAATTTAAGCATGATCATCGCACTATTAAGAGATTTGTGGCTGATTCAGAGCACAGACAGGCACGAAGACTAATTTTCAAACAGTCCAGTTCACTGATGAGTGCCGTGCAACCCTGGATTGTCCAGATGGATGGAGTAGTGGATGGTTGGTGGATGGCCACCCTGTTCCAACAAGGCTGCGATGTCAACAAGGCAGTGGTGGAGTCATGTTTTGGGCCGGAATCATGGGAAGAGAGCTGGTCATCCCCTTTAGGGTCCCCGAAGGTGTAAAGATGACCTCTGCAAAGTATGTGGAGTTTCTGACTGACCACTTTCTTCCCTGGTACAGAAGGAAGAACTATGCTTTCCATAATAAAATCATCTTCATGCATGACAATGCACCATCTAATGCTGCAAAGAATACCTCTGCATCAATGGCTGCTATGGGGATAAAAGGAAAGAAAGTCATGGTGTGGCCTCCATCCTCCCCTGACCTCAATCCTATTGAGTACCTTTGGAGCATCCTCAAGCAAAAGATCTATGAGGGTGGGAGGCAGTTTACATCCAAACAGCAGCTCTGGGAGGCTATTCTGACATCTTGCAAACAAATTCATGCAGAAACTGTCCAAAAACTCACAAGTTCAATGAATGCAAGACTTGTGAAGCTGCTATCAAATAAGGGGTCCTATGTTAAAATATAACATGACCTTTTAAAATGTTGTTATACGTTTGACTGAAATAGCTTTTGATTTCAGTAAATATGCTGCAAACACAACAAATGACAATTTTCAGTTCTTTACAACCTATAGAGTGTTTTGAAACTTACTGTGCGTAATAATTTGGAACAGTGCATTGTAAGATTTTTATGTTTAAAAAAAATACTGTTATCATTAGGAGGTTTGTTCAATAAAATTTGAATTGTACTCTTAATAGTTGATAACATGAGAATTATGCTGACTGTTATTTACATCAATTATTTAGGTAAATGAGGTAGAGGATTACAGGGCAAAATTAGATCCATTTTATTCAAGATATATAACTTTTATCATTTGCCCAATAACTGTGACATTTCAGATATTCTGGAAATTAAGAGAACTTCTCAGCTAGGATCTGAATTTGTGTATGTAAAAGCCTTTATAGCTTTATGCAATACTATTATACCATTTTATGTCAATTAATATTCCTTGATTACTTTTGTTAGCAATTTTTAGAATAAGTCACTTGACTGCCACTAACAACATGCTCCTTTATAATAAGCATTTTATAGCAAACAAAAATATAATTATGAAAACAAGTTTTCTTCTCTAGGCACAGGAAAAGAGTTACAGGTACACTATAGTCACCAAAACAACATTAGCTTAATGAAGAAGTTTTTGTGTATAGAACATGCCCTTGGACGTTCACTGCTCAATTTTCTGCCATTTAGGAGTTAAATCACTTTTGTTTCCGTTTCTGCAGACCTAGCCACATTTTCCCTGGCTGTGACTGACACACTCTGCATGAAAACAAAATGGTTTCATTTTCAATCATATGTAACTTACTTTAAAAGTTTTTATCTCCTGCTCTGTAACTTGAACTTTTATTACATACAGGAGGTCTACCAAGCTATTAACAGACCAGGAGATAACAAATTCTGAATTAAACAGAATTTACAATAAAATAAGTGTAAACATTAGATGACTCTTTGCAGGAAGTGTTTAGCAAGGCTGTATAAGTCACATGCAGGGAGGTGTGACTGGGTTGCATAAACAAAGTTATTTGACTCCTAAATGACAGAGAATTGAGTAGTGAGACTGCAGGAGCATAATTTATACACCAAAACCACACTAAAGCTAAAGTTATTTTGGTTACTATCGTGTCATTTAACATAAGCCAAACATTGCCCTGGAAAATCAGCATATCCTCATAGAGATGCATTAAATTGTGCAGCACTGCCCCAGGAAGCTCCTCTAGCAGCCATCTGAGAAGTGGCCACTGGAAGTGTCCCTAGGGAGTAAACACTCCCTCTGAAAAGACAGTGTTTGCTGCAAAAAGCCTGAAGAGACTGACTATGCTCACCAGAACAACTACATTACGCCCTTTAACAATTTATCATGTTTTTGGTGGTCCTATTGAAGAACAGAAAAATATAATACATTTTGAACTTGCTTTTTTTTAGGTTTATATGTTATACTTTGCCATATTAGAATGTATATATTGATATAAGTATAAAAGAAACATGTTTGGAAAATTATATTTGAGTGTTTAGTTCATATTTAAAGGTTTATTTTTTTTCCATTAGTTATTTTGGAGAGCTTCTGTTATTTATTTTAAAAATACAATTATTCTCAAAACCAACTTGTTCCATGAGTGATAGGGACATACATACAAGTAAAAGATAAAAGTTGAAACTACATTTTGTTGTATGATTAGTACCTTTCCCTTACAGGAATAACAGCATCAGATAAAGAACAGACATCTGTTTTCAGATCCTGCCTCTTTTTTTTTCTGTACTGCTGTTTTCAGCGTAATCCCCATCTTGGTTGCAAGGACGGTTGTGAAGTTAGTGTAACTTAATGGAATTGTCAATAACGTCCCAGTATACAAAGCTGCAAGGTCAGTAGAGAAGAACGACAAAGATAGGGTTTGACTTCTCTAGGGATTAGCTGAGAAGACAACAAAAATAGTGAATGACCCGCCTGGGGCTTCAAGCTGCAGCATTAGAAGATGAGAAGGGAAAGATGGGATTTGACCTCTCTGGGACTCCAAGTAGAAGGATGAGGAGGAAAGATAAATCTATGAAATTGAGAGGAACCCCCCCACCCCCCCAGAAGACCAAAGATACTGGATTAAGAGGGAGAAAAACAGAGTGAAGAAGGAACCACTCCAAAGCTCTGTAAATCCGAAAAAGGAGAGAAGAAAGCTGCAGACTGGGAGAGAACTCCTTAAGAACACATATAAATAGGTAGAAGAACAAAGCCAGGATGGGGAGAAATTCATAGAATGTCTAAGAAGTACGATTAGGAGAGAATAAAAACAGTGTTACGTGGAAATGGGGAGGCTAAAGTGGCTAGGTGAATCGCACAAACACAACAATTAAAACAAAAAATGTTCTCTCAGATTTTTAGTGACAGACCTTAAAAGCAAAAAAAAAACCCTAAAAAAAACCTAATAAAAAATTCTCATTATTGCTTGTTGTGTTGCATTACACCTGACATCATGGTTTGGCATCACTTATCATGGTTAGATAGGATTTTCTATTGACAAACATTTGCAGATAACTCAACAGTGGAGATTTATAAAAGTGTTACAAAAAAGAAAAACGGGGCAAGGTTTTAAGTACAGCAATCAGTGTGGAGTCCATGGAATGGGCCTGCTGGGTGCATTGGATTCCATGGGAATATTCAAACATAATCAACAGTTACTTTAAATAATAAATAATGTGTCGTAATGAAAAGGGGTTCAGTATTCTTTGTTATTGCTGATGTAACACGTGTGGGCAAAATATTCTATCTGAAGACATAATCTTAATGTGTAAGTTAGCTTAAAAAATTTCATGTAGTTGGTTCAAATTAAGCCCGATTAGACGTAATGCCGACTGTAATATCATAATGGCTCATTACGTCCTTGTGCAGCTTTATCTACATTCTGATTTAACTTGATTCAAGCTTTCAGAGAGCTTGTAAATGAAGAAATAGATTATTACTTGCTTTCAGTGAGACCCTGGTAATGGTTTGTAAGACATGAAAAGCATTAAAGAGATATCATTAATATCAATGAAAAAGAACATTGAATGATATCTAATTTATTATAGTTAGCAGGGCTGAATTTTCATATGTACAGTGAGCTTGTCACTTGGTCCTATAAAGAAAAACAAAATATTGGATTTTAGAGCTGATGATGCATTGTTTACTGTTTAAAAATCAATCCTTAATCTTTAAAAATGTTTATACCTTGAGGGATTTAAGTATTTAATGCATAATGTATTGTTTGAAAATGAAAACGGACATTAAAGGGAAATTGTCACTTGTCTGGAATTTACCTCATTGAATAAAATTTGTGAAATCATGTTTTCTTTTAGATTTATACTAATAATTTAGCGAATTTAAATGAGCAATTTACATCATAATCTAGTTAAAGGATCACTATAGGGTCAGGAACACAAACATGTATTCCTGACCCTATAGTGTTTAACCCACCATTTAGGTGGCTTACTCCCCCCTCACCCCATATAAAAGTTTAAAACTCACCTTATTTCAGGCGCTGGCTCCGCCCCCTTTGTGGCATCATCAAAATGGCCGATTTTTAGCCAACCCAATGCTTTCCCATAGGGAACCTATGGATTGGCAGAGATCATCAAGCTTGATGATCTCAGCCATAGAGGTGGGGCCAGCTGCAGAGGACCGAACTGCGTGGGAAAAAAGGTGAGTAAAAACACTATTCCCATGGGATCGGAGAGGGGCTGGCCACCTAAACATGCACAGACAGACACTCAAAAATTATATGTTTTTTTTTAAACTTTAATCCACCCAGCCCCCCTACTTTTGGGAGACCTGGTGTGGATTTCCCCGGGGTCCAGTGGGTGGGCAGGTGGGAGAGAGTGGAGGCGGGCAGCCAGCTGCACGTACTGCAGGCAGGTGGCTAGGGAGCTGGGATCTCCTTTTTCTGCTTCCTAGACTTCACTCCAGCCCCGGGATCACTCCAGCCGCATGCGAGGGAGCAGCGCAGTCTTCAGTAAACGCAGCCGGCCATACACCCGCCTCAGAGGGAATGTGCTCCCAAATTCCAGGCGCCAGGACAAAATTCTTGATCGCCATGGTGAGCTGGCGCCTGGGTTTTGTGGAGCCCTGCATTACATAGTTAACTTACTTTTAGAATTCTACATTTCCTATTTAACTTAATGTCATTTATTAATCTTGTGTAGACGGTTATATTGGATGTTGTGCAGAAGAAATTATTACTGGAATGTAAATGTGCATTGATTGCAGATCAAATATTTCATCATCTAGCGAATAACCCATGCTTTGGCAGGAATAGTTCTCTTTAAATAGAACGTGTTATTGATGGGCACCCAAAGCCTGTTGCTTTAACAGGGCCTGAATATAGCCCTGTACATATGAGTGTATCCACTCTGCATGATTGCTCTACGTTTTCTTTTTTTGTTTCTTTTTGTATGTCAACAAAATACCTATTCAGTGTTGTGCTTATATTGTAATACACAGATTTTTGTTTCATTTCATTTATTTGTAAAAATAAATAAATAAATAAATTATACTGCCATAGTATTCATGTATATAAAGAATTGCTGTAGTGAGGTAGAAATTTTAGAGTGACCCTCGATTTTATCAAATTATTATCATAACACAAGTAAAAGGAATTTCTCTTAGTTTACAGTAAACATTGTATCCATTTGCCATTGGGGCACAATTATTACTGACACGTTAACCCTGGACCAGTTTAGATGATCAAATATAATTTATGTAAAAGGAATTGGTGTGAAGCATATAGAGCAAAGAGGCATAAAATTCTCTAACATAGGTAATTTTGTAAACATTTAAAGAGGAGACCTGGTAGTTTTAGCTAGTGACACATTATTATTATCATTATTCATATTATTATTTTTATAAAGCACCAAGAAATTCCACTATAGAGGTAAATGTATTTTGTATCAATTATTTGTCAGATGTACATCCAAAACACAAACACACACAGTGTGAGGTTGCATTGTGCATTTTCCAGTACAGCAATGACTAGCAAACATTTGCTTTATGCACAGAATCCTTTGGGAATATCTAGGCTTCCATAGCAACCCACGGTTTCTGGTACAAAGTAATTGACTATGAGAACTGTGTGTATGTGATGGAAATAAGAAATTATTATAGAAAGTATTTAATCACAACCAAATATAGCAGGGAAAGGGATAATGGGTATGGCGGCCTAAAAATTGTTAATCTGTAGGGAAGTGTGATGCAAACACTTTAAGATCTTTTCATACATAACAAGAGGAAGTTATGATTTATGTAATGTTAAGCAATTGGATTCCTCTGGCCATTAAAGCTATAGAGCACGCATTCATAATTTGATTACTTTGTATAGGGATTGCAGAGGGTACAGATGTGTGCAATCACCAAGTCCCCATGGACCAGTTCACCCTCTGATATAACAACCACACCAAACATATTGTACTGTACAGGGAAAGTGTAAAATGTATCAGTAAAAAACTCCTAAGTAATCATGAATATATTCTACTGGAGCATATTAACGGGCTCTACAGAATGTCAGAGGAAGTTACTCTGCTAAATGTGTGGTGTGAATTTAATATATAGCTAAATAGTAATACAGGTTAAAAGACTCAAATCCAGGAAGTTCAATCATTCACAAATCTGTTGAAAAGAAGGAGAGAAAATGTTCAATGTGTCATATCATTCCTAGTCTCCGGGAGGAGGGAGCAGCGAATGTAATCTACCATTTCACTGTCCGCATTACATTCGCATTCCAAGGACTGATAATCATTGCTATAGAACTGTTAAATACATTTATTTTAGAAATATATGATTTCAATATATTTTCTGTATGTGGATATAATGCCCAAATGTAGACATTCTTTTTAGATTCTGTTGCCATTTTCAGTAAGCTGCACTACTAGTAATGCCTTCAGGGTCCTTATAAATACTTATAAGCAAGTTTTTTTGGCCATTTTTATTTATCTATTAAGTCACACCTACTGTATGTGAGAAAAACATTTTTTTATATATATATTATACTAACATTTCAGATCCTATGTGAAATATTGCAAGATAAAGTTCACTGTATACTGTCTAAAGCTTGTGATTTCAAAAATTTTTGTTACAAAGGCTGAATAAATAAGTGAAAAATTTAAATGGTGTAAATTTACATAATTAAAATGATTATGTTTGTCTGCAAATTAATCTATACACAAAATGTCTAATGTGTTATCTTTGCTAAGATTTTTTCAAACAAAAAGTGCTTGGTAGTGAAGGGGTTAAAATCAATTCCCACAAACTGTATCACACATAGGTCTTACCATTGTTTCTTAAAAAGGCAAAATTATATTTTAATACTGTTAATATCCCTTTTTATGCATGACAGTATGACTGATTGTTGCATAATCAGCTAGCTATAATTATTTCTATATCATTCTTATTTACTATTATTCCTAACTTAAAGGGATACTCTAAGCACCACATCAACTTTAGCTTAATGAAGCAGTTTTGGTGTATATAACATGCCCCAGTCAGGGCCGGTGCAAGGATTTTTGGGTGAAGATGCATTTTTCCGCCGCCCCCCCCCCCAAAAAAAAGAAATAACATCTTCACGTGTGCCTCTTAACCTCCCTTTTGTGTTTCTTATCACCTCTTTTAAATGTCTTACCCCCTTTAGTGTATCTTATCTCCTATTTTTTCCCCATTTTGTGTCTTACAACTCCCTTGTGTATCTCTTACAACTCCCCTTGTGTGCATCTTATCCCCCCTCTTTGTATCACTCTTACATCCTTCCACATTTTGTGTGTCTTACTCCTCCCAGCCCATTTGTGTGACTCCTCTTCCAGCCCCTTTGTGTCTTTTGCTCTTCCCAGCTCCTTTGTGTGTGTCTCTTTCACCCCAGCCCATCTGTCTCTTCCCCCCAGCCCCTCTGTGTGTCTCTTTTTCCCCTACTCAAGCCCCACTGTGTGTTTCTTTCACATCCAGCTCCTCTCCCCTCCCCGTCCCTTAGTGGTCCCCTCCCTTCCATATCCCTTAGTGTTTCTCTCCCCTCCCCTCCCCTCCCTGTCCCTTGGTGCACCCTCCACCCCCTTAGTGTTCCCTGCCCCTTCCTGGTTTGCCTCCTACCTCTCTTGTAGCATGGCCGAGCGGAGCGGATCCCCGTACAGGAGCTTCAGTTTTCTGTACCCGGTCGGACAGACAGGAAGTACTCTCTCAGTGAGCACCTCCTGTCAGTCCAGCCAGGTACAGGAAACAGAAGCTCTTGAACCACGCTCCGCCACGCTACACTCAGTGGTTTATACATACAGAAAGTCACACACACTCAATGACAAAACACACAGACGTCACTGACAGACACAGACTCCCTGATTTGTTACACACTGGCAGATACGCACTGACACTCACACACACTCAATGACAAACACACAGACATCACTGACAGACACAGATTCACTGATATGACACACTCATTAATTGACAGACACACACACGCACACTGACCAACACACTGACAGACACTCATTGACAGATACACTGATAGTCACACACAGACTCAATGACAAACATACTCTCACTGATTTGACAGACACTCACAAACACACACTGACAGACACTCATACACTCACATGCACACTCATACACTCACATGCACACACATGCACACACATGCACTCACATGCACTCACATGCACACACATGCACACACATGCACACACATGCACTCACATGCACTCACATGCACACACATGCACACACATGCACACACATACACTCACATGCACACACACTCATACACTCACTCACAGACACACACATACACTCAGTCACTGACACACACGCACATACACTCACTAATTATTATTTTTATAATTAACAATTTTTCACCCAGCCTCCCTACAGGGAAAGCTGACGTGGATCTGTCGCTGGGCTCCAGTGGGGCTGCTGCGAGGCGTGCGGCTATGGTAGAATCAGAGGCTGCTATGCAGCTGTAATCTTCCTGCTCTGCTCCCTCGTGGGCTGTCTACTGATGCCGGGAGCCAGAATATGACGTCATATTCCGGCTCCTGTGGCATCAGCAAATGGCGTACAAGGGAGCAGAGCAAGGAAATCAGATCTCCCTCACAGAGTCTGAATCTACCACAGCCGCACGCCGGGAGATCCATAACACGGCCTGCTAGGAGGGATAGCTTCCCTCCTGCCGGTCACTGGAATCTTGCGCCCCCAGAGCCGGTGTGCCATAAGGCTTGTGCCCCCTTATGGACGCGCCAGCCCTGCCTGCAGTCTCACTGCTCAATTATATGTTAAATCAATTTGTTTATGCAGCACTCAACAAGCCTCTCCTAATTATGACTCACACAGCCTTCCTATGCACTTCCAGTAAAGCAAGATCTAATGTTTAAACTTCCTTTATTGCACAGTCTGTTTTATCTAGAATTTCTTATCTCCTGCTCTGGTAACCTGCAGGAGCCTCCTGTGTGTGACAAAAGTTCAATTAACAGATCAGGAGATTGCAAAATCTAATGTGAACACACTGTTCTGTAAGATCTAATTGAAAATTAACCTTTTTTTTTTTTTACATTGAATGTATCACAGCTATGGGTGGTGTGGCTATGGTTGCAAAAATGGAAACAAAAGTGAATTAACTTCTGAATGGCAGAGAACTCATTAGTGAGACTGCCGGTGCATGATCAATACTGCAAAATGCTGTGAATAAGCTACAATTGTTTTGGTGCTTCAACTATCCCTTTAAGATTTAAAGGTACACTCCAAAAAAAAACAATTTTTTTTTCTTTTACTACTTAGTTGATAAACGCACAATGAAAAAATGCATGCATTTAAATATACATTTTGTCACAGCTTGGAAAACTGCAGATCTATTGTCTGCAGCCTGTGCAAGCCCTCAATTCCTACTAATGCAGTTCTATAAGAATGCCTAAATATTATCACTTAGTAACCCTTCAAATAATTTCCCCACCAGAGAAGTTCCCCCTCAGAGGTCTGTAATTTCTAGACTGAGATTTTGATGCCTTTTAAAAATTTTTTTTTAAAAATCATTATTTCTGCAGAACTGAAGACTTTTTCCAACTTTATTATTTTAGTGTAAATTTGTCATGAGCTCAGAATCAGCTTGCAAATTAAACAGTAAAATCAGTTGGACAAACTCTACAGTTTCTTCTAGTGGGACAGTCCAGGGCAATTAAGGGAAAATACCCCAATATGCTGTTCTTTAAATCCTACGATGCTCACAATGCCAGCAGTTTGGAATTGGAGTTCAACAACAGTCCAAGTGAGACTTGTTGCCTAGAGTTGATCTAAACTGAACTGGCAATCTCTTAAAAAAATTCAGTTTTTCTACATGACAAGTGCGGCATTACCTAAAATCCGTTTTGTTCTTTTTTTTACAGGAATTCGTTCATGGGACACAGATCTGATTCAATGCAACTTAGATCAAGAGCTGAAGCTCTTTGTATCACGTCACTCTGCCAGATTCTCTCCCGAAGTCAGAGGTGAGCTTGTGTAAAGTTATCGAGATTAAATGCAAACCTGCTGCTATCTATTTGGTTTCTTCTCTTTAGTAGCAGAACTGGAACTGGAGAGGCTTTTAAAGGGACAGTCTAGGCAACATGGTCACACTATAGCTCAGTGTGGTGGTTATGTCATGTAGGCTCTGCATGGAAATGCTTAATGTTCCCCATAGATTGATTCAATGCATCTCAATGATCATCAAGATTGTCAAGATTGATTGAAATTATTTTTGGCTTCAAATTATATATTTATTGAATAAATCTGTCTGTTTAGTGAAATGTGCCGTTATTGCCAAGAATTCAGAGTGAATTTAGAATGAATTTCCCATTTTAAGCCAAAGGAGTTGAAGTGAAAATAGTCTGACTTTTAAAATTTTACCTATTCATGTTGGTAATTGAAAAATGGAGTATATTACTTTACATTATTCTTTTTTACATTTATGATAAAATCAAGCAGATTATAGTGCTGCCCACATGTGTTCTACAACCTTCTTTACAATGATTAAAGTCTTTTAAACAATGAGGTCTAATCATAATTAGTTGAGTTGTGATGACTTGGAAACTGATGGGCTATTGTCCAGCATGAATAAGGAACTTTCTGCTGGGCAAGAAGGAGAAAGATCAACATTTAGCTGCAATTTCTGCAGTTAATGCAATTTATGTATTTAGCAGTAAGGTTTGGATTTTTAAAAAAGTATAATAGATGCATATTTTTATTATTAAATACTTTGTTCAAATTAATAAAAAAAAATTAAAAAAAAGAGCTATGGATTATTTTTGTAGCATTGATTTCTGTTTAAAGTTCAATGCAGTCAGACCAAGAGAATTATTTATTCAGGATACCCATGGCCAGTTACTGAATTGACAAGCCTAACGTAATAAGCAGAACTGTGCAGATCAGCAAAATTCAAAGGCAACATTTTCTGTATCTTTGAGTCGAGTAAGAGGACTCACACTGCATAAAAAGGTAAAATTATAATCAGGGCCGGTGCAAGGATTTTTGCCGCCCTATGCAAACAAAAGTTTGCCGCCTACCCCCCCATCACAATCCCCCATCCATATGATCTGCCATATGAGCCAACACCAGTGCTGCACACAGTGTCTTTTCTCTGAAAAGGCAGTGTGTTTACATTAAAAAGCCTGCAGGGACAGGCTACATCTAGCTGTAGATGGTTCTGGTGACTATAGTGTCCCTTTAATGTGAGGTAAATTAGGGATTACTGCCACTAATATTATACTGGATTGCCTACTTACCACCAGATGAGGACAAGAGGATGATGACGGGGTCAGGCTGCAGTCTGACTCCACTGGTCACAAAAACCACGAACAGAAAGCAGCTCAATTTTTTGGGGCACCTTACACAGATCGTGGTTTGGGCCCCCGGGTATGCATCAAAGGCCATGAGTATGCATCAAAGGCCATGAATTCGCTCAAAGGGAATGGAGTGTTTGTGTGTAGGGGATGTGTTATGTGTTATTGTAGAGGATGTAATGTGTGTGTGTTCTTGTGGAATGGAATGTATAGGGATACCAGTTTGTGTAAGGGATGTAGTGGGTGTGTACAGGGCATGCAGTGTGTGTTTGTGTGTAAGAAATGCATTGTGTGTGTGTGTGTGTGTGTAAGGGATGCATTGTTTGTGTGTAAGGGATGCATTGTGTAATTGTAATGGATGCATTGTTTCTGTGTGTGTAAGTAAAGCATAGTGTGTTTCTGTGTAAATGTATGATGCATTGTATGTTTCAGTGTGTCTGTGTGTGAGTAGTGATGCATTCTGTGCATGTGTGTTTCTGTGTATGTGTAAGGATGCATTGTCTATGTGTGTAGTGTGAAAGAGTGTTTGTGGGGTAGGATAGGGGCTGAGAGGGAGCAGCTATTTATTTTTATTATATTTATTTTGTTACTATAATTTTTTAAATATATTTTTTCTTTAAGTTTTGTGTCTTACACTCCCCTTTAGTGTATCTCTTACAAGCTCCTTGTGTGTCTCTTATCCCCCCTCTTTGTATGTCCCCTACATCCTCCCAACCTCTTTGCGTGTCTTACTCTAGCCTGCTCCTTTGTGTGTCTCTTTCCCCCCCAGGCCCCTCTGTTTATCTCCCTCACAAGCTACTCTGTGTGTCTCTGTCTCCCCTACCAGCCCTTCTGTGCAATTCTTTCACCCCTACCTTTAGCCTCTCTGTGTATCTTACACTCCCTCTGTCCCTTAATGATCTCTTCCACTTCCCCCGTCCCTTAGTGGTCTCAACTTCACTTCTCCCCCTGTCCCTTAGAGGTCTCCCCTCCTGTCCCTTAGAACTCTCCCCTCTTTCCCTTATTGTTCTCCCCTCCCCTTCAGTCCCTGTGTGTTGTCCCCTTCCCTCCTGTCCCTTAGTGCTCTCCCCTCCTGTCCCTTAGTGCTCTCCCCTCCCCTCCTGTCCCTTAGTGCTCTCCCCTGCCCCCCCACCCTGTCCCTTAGTGCTCTCCCCTGCCCCTTAATGCTCTCCCCGGCCCCCCCTTAGTGCTCTCCCCAGCCCCCCTGTCCTTTAGTGCATGGCAATGCCCCCCCTTTCCCATAGTGCTCTCCCCTGCTTCCCCTTCTCAAAGTGCTCTCCATCCCCCCTGTCCCTTACAGTGCTCCCTCCTCCCCCATCTTTCCATTAGTGGTCTCTCCCCATCTTTCCCTTAGTGGCCTCTCCTCCCCCCATCTTTCCCTAGTGTCCTCCCCCCCACCTTTTCCTTAGTAGTCTCTCCCCCCCCTAGTGTCACTTAGTGCCATCTCCCACCCCTTCCCTGTTGTGCCTACTACCTCACTGTAGCGTGGCCAGGTGGCACGGACCGTGGTACATGAGCTTCTGTTTCCTGTACCCGGCCGAACTTACAGGAAGTGCTCATTGAGAGAGCACTTCCTTTCAGTCCGGCCTGGTACAGGAAGCTCTTGTACCATGGTCCACGCCACTCGGCCACGCTACACTGAGTGACTGGCTGTGCGCTTCCCTCCCGCCGGGTAACTCGAAACTTGCACTCCCCCTGGGCCGTTGCGCCCTAGGCGATTGCCCAAGTCGCCTATAGAACGTGCCGGCCCTGATTATAATATTTAACCTGTGACGGGGTGATTTTTCAGGCTGTCAATCTTCAATAAATATAGTTGAAACTGTCAAAATTTAAATTCGCTACTAAAATTAACCTTAAAATTCGGTCCTGGCTGTGGAGTATGTCAAGGACCCTCCAGCTGTTAGCGCAGGATTTGAAATTTTGAGCCCTGCTTATTGTTATTCACTAAAGTGTGAAATGTCAGGAATCAAAATGAATTCAAAGTGAATTTCAAAATGTATCCCAAAATAGTCAAACTGAATTATTCAGCTCAGCATTGAAACTCCCTCTGAATTTCCAATAAATCACACTTGACTAAAAACAAAACATGTTGGACAGCTCTTCGAGGCGTGAGTCCTTTACCTCACTCTTTACATACCTTTCCCTCTTATCTCTCTTCCCTTTTCTGGTCATGTTCATTTATAATTGTAAACTTTATGTTAAGTACTTAACATTGAGGGTAATAATGTCATTGTATCTGTGTGACTTGTGCCTCAAAGAATTAAAAACAAAACAAAAAAAAATAGTTCCTACATCCCTGACTTGTAGGTGTGCCTTGAGGACTGGTTTGGAAATCACTGCTCTAGATTGTAAAAGCATTACAATTTTTTTCTTTCGAGCATTGTCCTCCTCAACCTATTGTTCCTGTTACAATTCGTAATTGTCTAATTTATTATTAGATTTCCCCCTTTTATAATATTGTAAAGTGCTGCGGAATAAGTTGGCGCTATATAAACACCAATTATAATAATAAATGTTACTCACCTCTGCAAGCCTGGAGGATCCATGGCACACTGTGAATTTCTACTACATATCTTACAATATGTTGAATTGACAGCTAATGCCTAATGCCATAACATTGGGGACACTATGCACCCAATGGAGGTTCTGATAAAAGCATCGGTTTAGGTTGTGTATCCTCATAATGATTCTATTAATAAAATTGTATCAAATTGTATGCTCGCTTTTCATGCCTTTGTTCACGCAGCTGTCTGACAGCTGTCACATTTTTCAAGATTACTGTTTACTTTGTCACATTTTACAAGAATAGAATATGCATGTCAGTGTCTGATTTGCTTATTAATCTGTGAGTAAATAAGTTAATTTAGAATCTCAATTAATTACAATTTTAAGTGTTCTTACATAATTATTATTTTTTTTATGCTTGGCATATTTTTATTCCATTTAAACCATCATTGTTTCTTTTGATTATAACAGATCATTCCCATATGCCGTGAAATGTGAGGAATGAGAAGTGTTTGTTTTTTTTGTAATCTATAGGCAAAAATAGCTAAATTGGGATTTTAACCCAAACATTTTTACAGTTTTACTAGTTTGGCCGAGACTTTGTATATTCTGAGGCAAATTTGAGGAGAGAGTTGGAATTGAGGAAGTAAGCCAAGCTGGTAAAGACAAGTCTCTCTAGAAGCTTTGCGTAAAAAGGGAGCAAGGATATGGGACAATAGTTGGAAGGGGAAAATGGGTCAAGAGATGGCTTTTTTTTATGATCGGTACAACAGTAACATGTTTAAGGGGAGCAGGTACAACACCAGAAGAAAGAGAGCAGTTGAAGATGTGTGTTAAGGATGGTACAAGACAGGGGGAGAGAGCTCTGAGAAGGTGAGAAGAGACGGAATCAAGTGAACAAGTGGTGGGATGAGAGAATGAGAAGAGCAGCCACCTTTTGTTCATTAGCCGGGTAGAAGGCCTGAAGGGTAGGAAAGGTACTTCCCAGGTGTGGTTGAGAGAGAGAGGAGTAAAGGGGGGAATTTTTTTGGTATCTGTATGACACAAAAAGAGCAATCAATTAGGAGCATTCCCTGCCTACTTTGACCTTTTGCCACACACAGTGCCCTGAAGATATTATACAAAGAACGAACGATGAATATATCTGTTATGGGGTTATGTCCTTTTACCAACCTGAGCCTGCCCAGTACTGGATGACATGAGCAAGGGGAGGCACTAAGGGCAGACCTTTTACAAAAAATAAGGTACCCTTCCCTCCCTCTCCTTCTCCGCTATGTAAACGAGCCAGCCAGCATTTCATGGGAGGCGTGTACGGTTTACTCAGGTGTTACTACATATCTTCTATTGGTTCTCAATAGATGAACCCCTTTTGGGGAAAACCATTAAGGGAAACTTAGTAATTATATTGTTTGCCTCCAATGAAGGTGCATGTTAGCACCGAAACGCGTGTCAGGCGTTTCAAACTTTAACATTTTGCACTTCTAGCATATGGTACTCTGTTCACTTAGATGTTTGCTGTTTTCCTAATCCTATCAAGTTTTAGATTTTTTTAGCTTTTAAGGGAGAGAGGACTACAGACCCTTTTTTTACAGACCCTATGGGCTATGATAGAAGCATGTATCTATTATCTGTATTAGAGACATTGGATGCTACATCTAACTGGAAGAGCTCCCTACTATACTAAAAATAAGTTTAATGCCCTAGGTACATTATTTGCCTTAAAGGAACGCTATATGGTCAGGAACACAAACATGTATTCCTGACCCTATAGTGCTAAACCCACCATTTAGGTGGCTTGCTCCCCCTTAGCCCCCTTAAAAGCAATGACAACTCACCTTATTTCCAGCACCACGTGGGTCTGCCGGCACTGGCCCCGCCCCCTTGGTGACATCATCAGAATTGCAGATTTTTAACCAATGCAATGCTTTCCCATGGGGAAAGCATTGGATTGGCTAAAATTGGCAAGGGGGCGGCGCCAAACGCTGTTTTGGCCAATCAGCACCTCCTTATAGAGATGCATTGAATGCATCTGTGTGAGGAAAATTCAGCGTCTGCATGCACCTGAGCCAGGTGCGGAGTGGCCACTCGGAGGTTTCCCTAGGGGCAATGTAAATACTGCCTTTTCTCTGAAAAGGCAGTGTTTACATGAAAATGCCTGAAGGCAATGAGCTGTAGTTGTTCTGGTGACTATAGTGTCCCTTTAATAAGGTGCAGTGGCCTATAGGAATAAAACCTTATTATGCCTGCACCTACCTAAGGGAATATATAGGGATTAGGACTAATGGTTAGTTTTTACTGATTAGGAGGAGGTCTTTGCATTATCTATACATATTTATATATATGATCTAACGGTATATGACTCACATCTTTTATAGGAGATATTTATAGGAGGTTTTTTTTCAGTGCCACCAGGTAGAATACAACAAACAAAGTGCACTGTGCAGATATAAGGCGCTTAAGGATGATAGTGTACAGAAACAAATTTAGTTTAGCAGCTCAACACACATGTAAGTACCTCTTAACTTAACACAAAATCATGCAAAGCAAATGTGGAGTGCTCCGATATACCACTTCAAATAGACCCAGTGGCGCACTAATATTGATAAACCATAAACACCTACCCTCAAATAACTAAAATAACTAAAAGAAAAAACAAATTGACAAAATATGGTGCAGTATATAAGGATAATTGGAGTGGTTTAGAAGATATATGTGTAACACACTCACATGGCATAGAGCCTAGGGAGGATAGGCTCAGGTCACAATCGCAGAGGTATTTATAGATAATACCAAACTTCTTCTATATGAGGACCCAGGTGCTCAGGAGAAAGAAAGAGATGGACCAAATGCTCGTAGTGTATTATCCTCATTGCATAAACATTCATTTAAAAAATGCAGATAACTGCTCACCTTTTAGAGAGCCAAAAAGGCTGGGCTCTCAGTGTTATGGGCCCTGTGCCTTTAAGAGGGCACAACTCTTCTTTAAAAGCAGGAAAGTGCAGGAACGTTGTTTAATGTTTAAAAACAAATAAAAGCAAGCCAAATACCATGGGGTAGTAGTCCCAAAGATGGTCCTGATCGCCCGAGACGCGTCTCACCTTGTTCAAAGGCTTTCTTAATCGGATTCCTGTTTCTCACATGTTTTCTTCCTGTGATTGGTCCTCGTGCCCTATAATCAACCAATCGACCGACCGGTATGTGGAGGTGTGTTTCTGCTCAGCTGACAGTAGTTTCCCTTTCTTACATATGCGGAGGGGACGTATCGGAATCTCCTTAACGCCACTTCCGGTTCGGTCAGATCACCATTTTCAATGTGGGCATTGCCCTATTCGTCCATAAAAAGTAACGTAACGGATAGTCCCAAGTTCATGTTACTTAGTCAACAGTATATGACATATCTTTTATAGAAGATATTTATAGGAGGTTCATTTGGCAGTAAAAAATTGCAAATCAATTCATTATGTAAAAGAAATAAAAGAAAGGATGATAGAACATATTCCTCAATAAAATATACTCTTCATGAAGATACACTCCTAACCTCACTTGTGCTAGTTTAAGGTCCAAAAATAATATATCTTAAGGCTTATATAAATCAAATATAGCAAATAAATATGATATTGGGATAATACTCAGTTGATATATAACTACTAACATGAAGTCAAGAGTGTATTTCATAACAAACCCAACACCTTAAAAACCCATACAGAGGAATATAAAAAAGGAGTATTAAAAAAATTGTATAAAATATATATTAAAGTACTAAAAAATAACAATAAAAAATGACAGAGTTCAAAGTCGTTATTCACACCCTGTGGATGTAGATTAAAAATCTATCTCATTTCAGATTGTCCCATTTTTCTAAATATGTTGTCACCCCTCCAGTTTATTTCCACCTTTTGAATTCCTGAAAATTGTAGTTTATTAGGATCACTATTATGAACGTTTTAAAATGTAGGGGTACACTATGCTTAACAAAGCCGTTTCTCACGTTCCTAATGTGCTCTTGCATCCTCACCTAAAGGGGGTGAATGGTATGCTCTGTACATACTAATCCACATGGGCAAGTCATCATATATATTACTCTCTTGGAATGGCAAGTAATGTTATAATTAATATTTTTTTTTAAATCTGATTTTTTGAATGTGTGGATTCCTTAATAACCCTTTTTTTAAACTTGTTTTATTCCTACAGGCCCCGCAGATACCACAATCATAAAAACCTTTAGATTAATTGAATTGATTCTGTGTATCACTCCTCATATTTGTGTGGTTATTTGTAAGATTATTTCGCAAATTGGGTACACCTCGGTAAATTATTTTAGGTTTATCAGGTAAAATGGCATTAAGTGCTTCATGATTTTTTAAAATTGGCCAATGCTTAGAGATCACTTTTCTCACTTGTTTGCTCTGGATATTAAAATCACAGATAAAAGATATCTGACTTTCATTGGATGACATTGTTTTTTCTTTATACTTTAAAAGTTCTCTATTATATCCTTTAAATGAAAAATTATTTATGATTTTTTTGTGCCTGTTCTTGAAATGTATTGGTGTCCGTACAGTTTCATTTAATTCTTAATAACTGGACTTTTGGTGCATTTAGGAGCCAGGTAGCATCATCCCAAATATTTGACAATTTTAACATTTTTGTATTGTTTTGGTTTTACATGTTTAGGGTTAAGCCCTTCGACATCCCTGGTGTGTCCAACTGGTGAAATGATTCCGGAGGAATTCACAGATCCCTATTAGTTTATTTGGGGGATAATTCTTTCCTTTACTGTTTACTCTTGTAGGTAAAATAGCACACAAAGCTGTCAGCTGTAAGGTTAGTTTGAGGTGTGGCCACAGTAGGACGAAGGAGAAAGTTTAAGGTAGACACCTGGGATTGCGGGAATATGAACTAATGAGTGAAAAAGTATAATTTAGCAAATGTGAGGGCTGTGCTGCACGAACGCAAGATGAAATTATAATGGAGAAATTCTGTCAAGGTATGAGACTTCGTCCAGCAGCATTCAGCTGAATGGGAGCATCTTTGTTGTTAGCAGGTCGACTTAGTGTGCAATGGTTGGAGGCGCATCTTTCTAGAGGTGCATGTGCCCACAGCAGAGGTGAGGGGTAGCATTATATGAGGATATAGTCAGAGAGGGACAGAAGACAGTAGGGATGTTTTTAGAGTTCAGAACGGACATCAGCTAAGAGTTGCTGGAGATCAAGAGAATTCAGGTTCCTTCTGAATTTAGGGGGGTTAGGCTGACTATATTGGGTGAGAATTAGCCCACTGTGATAGCACAAGGGAGGAGGTAATTGAAAGAAGATTTGAGGCTACACATATAACACATTGTGCACATATATAACCGTATATACAATGAGGTCCTTTCAACAAAGTGACAGTGATGAACATCAGTCCATATTTTCTTGCAAATGATAAATTGCTGATTTGTAAAAGTTCTCCAACATGGCTATGGGGACAGTCTGGTTATTTTAGCTTAACCTTTGCAATTGTTTTCAAATCACTACAGTTCGGTATTTAGTGAATAAACTTGATTGATTTCATTGTCATATTCACAGCATCTATAAGGAAAATAAGGAAAAATCGAAGCTACTGTGCTGGTATCCACAACATGAACGTACATCTACATCTTTGAGCTAATTTTGTTGCGTGTTTTTTCAGTAAATCTGTGGAGATCCTGTTTATTATTTATAGGTTTTTAAAATGTAAATTCTATTAAATTATTCATGCTGTTGAGATGTGTGCTAAGTTTTACTCAAAAAGCTAAGTGTCTACTCCAGTGATACATGTCAGTGATCAAAGTAAGGGGTTTCTTTTGCTAAAAAGAAGGAATTAGTATTTCTTGTCTGGGAATTAAAGTCAGTTTGTCTATTACGTAAGACTTGTTCATTTAAGCCATGTGGCAAACTCTTAAAAGCTCATAATTAGAGATGATTAACTAGACAGCGGCATAAATGTACAGAAAATGGCTTGTCAAGATGCGTCTAGAATGCAACATATGTGCCTTAATATGCGGGTAAGTTTTTTTTACTGTTCATATACAGTGGAAGAGAGAGATTACATAATGGTTAGGTGAATACATTATGGAAAATAATGCCTTGAGACGTACTGTAGACCAGACATCATAATAAACTTAGGAACAGAAGGGTTGCTGTTATGGTTAAAGGGACACTTTAGGCACCTAGACCACTTAATGCAATGTTCTTGGTTCCATGTCACTCCTCGTTTTAACCTTGCAGTGTAAAATATTGTCGATCTGTAGAAAGACAATAGTTTCATTGCAAGAATTAAAGGGACACTATAGACGCCAATCATCTCATTGAAGTGGTCTGGGTGCATTGTCCCCGTCCCCTTAACCCTGCAATGAAAACATTGCAGTTTTAGATGGCTGTCAATCAGACAGCTCATCCTGTTACTTCCTGGTTTGGTTAGCTCAGTGAAGCTAAACTCAAGAGGCAGCAATTGCCCAGAGCACCTGCCTTGCAAAGACTTCTGGTTGAGCTGCTTTGGGAAGTCTCTGATTGGACAGCCACAGAAAGTCTGGGTGGGGTTAGAAGGGGAGGGCTTACAAAGGCGTCAGACAAGAGATCTGCAGCTTTTACAAGCTGTTTATATATATATACAACCCCAAAGAAATAAATGAATAATTAAACGCATGCATGTTTTAATTCTGTGATATATCTACTAAGCAGTGATTTGAACTTATTTTATTTGGGCAGTGGAGGGTCCCCTTAATTCTTTAGAGTGCCCCACATTTAATCTGCAGTATATCTACAAGGTCTGTCTATGGGGACTTGGAAACCAATATTCGTGGGTGTTTGTATCTGCTGAAGGACAGCAGAAAGTATTGCTAGAAAATGTAAGGGTAAATTAGATCACTCATTGGCATCCTGTAAGAAATAAAAAAAAGGGGGAAGAAGAAAACAACCACATGCCCACTTGTCTGACCTTGGTTTTTACTGTCATTACAATTGCTCTGCTTTCTACACAACAGAGTAAAATGTTAGTTTTCACTTCTATTTCTTAGATCTCCAGTGAGCTGAAAATGTAATAAATTGCATGAAACCCCAAAAAAAAAACAGGCAGATTAATCAGTTACAATGTATCATGGAATAAAGTGCCCATTGACTGCCAATTGCTTCCTATATGCACTTGTTTCTCAACCAGTGGTACATGTACCTCAGGGTACACTGTGTGTGTGTGTGAGAGAATGTGTCTGTGTCTGTCAGTGAATGTGTGTGTGTGTGTGTGTGTGTCAATCATTCATAGTGTGTCTGTCACTGTGTGTCAAATCAGTGAGTGTGTGTGTCAGTGAATGTGTGTGTGTCTGTCATTGTGTGTCAAATCAGTGAGTGTCAAATCAGTGAGATTGTGCAAGTGAGTGTGTCAGTTAGTGTGTGTCACTGTGTTTTTTTATTTGTCAGTATGTGTGTCTGTCAGTGTGTGTCAAATTAGGGTTTCTGTCATAGAGTGTGCCCTCTCTGTGTAAGTGTGTGTGTGTGTCAGTGTCCTCTCTGTGTAAGTGTGTGTGTGTGTGTGTGTGTGTGTGTCAGTGTCCTCTCTGTGTATGTGTGTGTGTGACTTTGTATGTGTGTTTTGTGACTTCTATACTTCAGATTAATAGTTCATACACTCCTCTTTACATACACAATATTCACATGTCATATTTATTTTGAAAATATTATTTTCTACCTTTAGTCGGATGTGCTCTCTAATATGGGATTAACTTTAATATCAGAGTATATATGTTTCATTTGGAATTTAAGGCAATGGAAATCAGTTCCTCGAAGCAGGGGTACTTAGTAGTTGTTTTTTTATAGACCTTTACTTTTCTGTAAAATGTTGAGAAACCCTGCTCTATGCCACCAGCCTTCACCCCTCCTCTCCATATATTCCATGGAAGAGCATTTATTAAATGTATTTATTTATTTCAGGGTGTGTGTCTTTTGGAGCCCTTTAAATTGTGGAAAGTGATTTCAATTTTATCCTTATGGATTACAATTTGTTGGAAGTTATTGGACACCAAATCGAATTTCCATGCACAGCGTCCAAGTGTTTTATGTCTGCAAGGCTTCTATGCCCTTTATCTGATTTGATACAGGTTAAATCAACATAACTACGAGCAATGCCTCGGCAACTGTATTTCCGACTAATGACTTAATAGGATCAATATATATGCTCTGAGCATCGGACAGAATTGGCCTAATTTCTGAGTAGAAATAGAATATTATATAAAGCTCTGTGTCACATACAGGAGAGAGACTTATGTGCATTCTCTATAAATAAATAAGACATTAAATAAATAACCTTATTAGCTTGAATACATTACATGTCTATCTAAAAGCTGTTACACGTGTATTCAGATTGAGTCGTTTAGTTCAAAACTTTATAAACTTCATTGATGACCTGATTTAACAGGTAGACGTGCATTCGGAACATAAGTAAATAATTTGACAAAAGTACATCAGTGCGTAAGTCATACTAATAAAATATAAATAAAATATTGCAGATATATTTTTATCAGCTTTATTGATGTAGCAATCGTTCTATTTATAACTGAGTAAGGAAGGTAAAACTATTGTACTGGGAACAGATTTTTGGAGTTGAAGGGAAGACACATGGAATATGGAGGTCAGGATGGTAACGAGTAGGGGTACATGTTCACAGGTTAGGTGCAAGGGAAACATGTATTTTAAGGAGACAGGCAAGTTGTGGAGATGGACAGACAAATTGAGAGATGGGATAAGAGTGATACGTAAATGTTTTATGGTATATATAGCTTCCAATAAGGAAATGAGGAGTGGGGAATATTAAGGGGGCTCCAATAGCGTTGGATTAGTTTAGAATAGTAAAATGCTATTGGAGCCTCCTTGGGTTCTCTCTATTTATTGTTTAACTGATATAGCTCAACACATGAAATTGAAGTGGAGTGATACATCCCACAAAGATTGTAAGCTGTCATGCCCAGAGCCGGTTTGTGGCTCTGGGGTCGGTGGGTGTATTTCCTTTGTAGAATGTTTAAAGGAATATTGAATATTGCACGGACATTCTACGCTTGAAGTGTTGTTTTGTTTACATATTTTAACTAAACTTGTTTGAAAATCTGCTTGTGTACTGGATATATAAGTGGTAAAATATGCACTTGCATGTGTAAGAATTTAGAAAAATATCACAACACTATTATTGTATGTTGATTATTTACAATATTGCTCCAAACAGTTAAAGCAGATGCTATTTTGGAGGCTTGTATAAATGTGTACTTTAATATGAGTATGCAGAGCAGTATACAATTGCTTCTCAATTCCAGGTCTGATAAATTTTATTAGAGGCTTTTCAGCAACCTCACTCTGTTGAAAAGAAAAGGTTTATTTCGGGGGGCGGGGCCTGGCCGCCGAGCTGGCTGGTCGCACGGCACAACAGCTCCAGCAAACCTCGCTTAATAATCTCAAAATATGGATCTGTTGGATCCACCTGTCAACCTACCGCGGTGGACCGGCACCTGTGGAGACACTGGACCCGGGGAGAGGCTTGCAGCTGCTGTTTTAGTCCCCCGGGGGGGTACGCACCGCTCCCTCTGGATGAGGCCTACTCGGGCGGTGAGTGAGGCGGACGGCCGCCGCCCACTATCCTGCCTGATGCTATCCAGCCAGACTCCCTTGGCTGGGCGGACCGGGCCCTGTTCCCCCCCCCTCTGGGCCGGTGGGGGTGATCCCGACCCGCACCCTATACACTCTGTGGCCCCGGCTAAGACCGAAGCTCTCAAGGCCCAGACGGGTTGCCAAAACGCAGCTCACACAAGCACTTCATGACTCCAAGGGGATGTTACCCTCCTGAATTCCACGCAGGCACTGAACGCCTGCATGAAACAACCCAGTACCCACTAACCCACAGCCTCAGCAACCGCCGGACAAGTGCTACCAAGGCCCGGAGCCCACCCTCGACAAAAAGGCGGGAGCGGTTGCCTGCTGACCAGCGAGGCACAGACCCATCAACCTAGACCCAGCAGTCAACCCCTCGGGCCTGCCCAGACGACTAGCGCAGAGTGCACACCCTAAGTCCGTTCCGAGGATCTGGCCTGCACCGCCTCCACAACGGCACATCAACACTTACCAGCCGGACCGCAGAGAAGAGGCACCAAACAGCCAGAAGAAAGCGGCGGAAGAGTGCTCCACATCACAGGGGGACTCACAAGCCTTCAGCACCCAAGTTACGACCCAAGGCAGCAACGACGGAATAAAACAGCCCTGGACTCATTGGGGACACAGAACCTGCACAACATCCCTCCTTGGAGTACAGGTGCCTGGCTGCCTGCCACTGGGGTGTCGGGGTGCTCTTATAGCATAAGCGAGTGATCTCAGGACACTAACTGCATCATGCTACAATATAAGAATGTGCAATACATACACCTATAAGCTATGACAGATCACCTTTTTCCTTTCCTTTTTCTTTTTTTCTAGCTAGTGATACAAGGCAGAGTTACCCACATATCCTGACCACTAGATGAAGTTTAAAAGTCTTTGTCAGCTCAGGCTTTTTTTCTTTCTATTGTTAACTTTCTTCTCACACAATGACTTAGCTGTGCATCAGATCTTACGTGCCATGACAAACTCGAGTTAGTTTACTATTAATACGCTGTATTAATTAATTGCATTTGTTGCCATGATAAATGTTGAATTATATACAGCAAGGGAAGGAAGGAAGGGAAAAGGGAAGGAAGAAAAAAAAAAAAAGAGCTTAACTCTCAGCAGCAGCAGCATACATTTAGCACTGAGCGTACGTAGTCACCTCATAGTCCTCATGTCTAGTTAGAAAGGTGTGCAGCCTAGTCGTGTCATGACATTGTTTGCATTATTATAATTTGTACTCTTTCTTCAAGTTTGACTACGCCTGTAACTTAAGCACCCGGTCAACATTCAGTTAATGTGGTAGCACTACGGATGCTCAGTCGTGTCCTTAAAGCCCTTACAAGCACACATCTACTCACTAGAGCAGAGATTGTTGTTTACTGTTGCAAGCTTGCAGACCCCAACGTGACACACCGCATTAGATATACGTACCCTGCTTGCACTTAACCTGATACATGTAAACTACGCCACGCTTGTTTATGCATCATAATATAAACCGTGCTTCTACTCATGCCACTGTATGTCTTGTAATAAAAACGTGTACGCTGTTGTGGCGTTTGATCTTGCAATGTACTCACCTGCACGACAAAAAAAAAAGAATAAAAAAAAAAAAAAGGTTTATTTCAAGACCGGAAGAATTCAACTGTGAAAGCTCAGAAAACTAACCTTAAGTGCATCAATGTGATCTCATATATGTACTTGCAGCTCACCATATGTTACTTTTCCACCTCAGGGCTTTTAGTTGATAATAGAATATAACACATTTTAACAAGTCCACTTAAGGGAGCCCCATCTGTAAGACTAGCAAGTAAGCCAATTATATTCAAGGTTCTGTTCAGTAAAGTTCAAATTGTAGCAACTTAGAAGCCAAATGGCAAAATGTAGACTTTAAATAGCCAAGTTGTGGCTATAGCTTCATTTGAGATGTTTTTCAGGCTGAGCTATTTTTGCTTACATTTTGCCATCTGGTTTTCAGTGTTCTATATTTTGGAGTTTAGAGAATAAACTCTTAAGAGATACCTGCCTACTATTAAAGGGACACTGAAGGCACTCAGACCACCTCAACTTATTGAAGTGGTCTGGCTGCAATGTAAATCATTGCAGTTTTTGAGAATCTACCAGCCAGCCACTAGAGATGGTTCTGGGAGTTACCCGGACTCCAGGTGCCCTAAATGACGCTGGACGATGCATGGCATGAGGACATCCAGCACCAGTGTGAATTGGCCATAGTCAATGCTTTTTTATAGGGAGGGCCTAATGGGCTTGCCACGCATGTGAATTAGGTACCCCCCATCTGAGCAAATAAAGTTGTTGGTTTTTAACCCTTTGTGTGCCACTGGGAACAGATCCTGGTGACCAAAACAAGAGGTCTGGTATTGCTCTAATATAACTCTGCGGATGTGATTTAAGCCTATCTTTATTGGGCTCGACACCTTTTGGCTGCGTTTAATTTAAACTTATACCACTCTAAGTTTGTATTACATAATACACTATATTCTGTTATCTTTTACCCTGTTTCATCTGTATGTCTTCATTATTTCCACTGTTCCTCTTATGGTAAGTGTGTGCTTTAACATTTTAGCACTCCACTTGGTTTACAAAAAGTAACTTGGACCTACTTAGTTCACTCACCTTTCTTTTGCATGATTTTGTGTTAAGTTTAAGGTACTTACACATGTGTTGTAGCTGCTATACCCAATATTTATTGGCCTTATATATTTATTTAAGTGCCTTCATTGCACAGTGCACTTTTGAATTTACACTTGATGAAATAATTAGTTTATCATAGAGATATTTAGTGCACCGGTACAGACTGTATTTCATTCTTTAACTGTATATACTTATAGTGTGGCAATGAAAAAATTAACTTGATGGACTTTTTTTTTTTTTTTACAAATATTGCCATTTAAGTGGCACTGTAAAGCTCTAAAGTGAATGAATAAATATGACAGTCATCCACCAGCCCTCACTCCGACAAGAGTACCATGCCAGGAGTACTTCAAATCCTATAAGCCTCTCAGGCAGGCTGAAAGAAATTTATAGGAGAGAGAGATCACAAGTAAGTTCCTCTATCCTTATACATGTAGATATAACTTAGAGATAGATTAAAGAAACACGATAGGGTCAGGAACACAAACATGTATTCCAGACCCTATTGTGTTGAAACCACCATATAGCCCCCCTGATCCCCACTTGCTTCCTCACATATTGCAAAATCCTACTTTTATTCCAGTCTGCTGCTGCTGGTTCTGCCCCTGATCTGCCTGCTTGGCTGACATTATCAGAAATTATTCTCTCAGCCAATCACAATGATTTCATACAGGAAAGCACTGGATTGGCTAAGACTGTCAAGGTGGCAGATCGGGGGAGAGACAGCACAAGTCAAACACAGCGATGACCAATCAGCATCTCCTCACTGAAAAAATGCATCTCTATGAGGAAAGGTCAGTGGCTCCATGCAGAGGGAGGAGACACTGAATGTCAGGCACACTGTGCAGCACTTCCCCAGGAAGCACCTCTAGCAGCCATCTGAGGAGTAGCCAGCGGAGGTATCCCTAGGCTGTAATGTAAATGCTGTATTTACTCTAAAAAAAACAGTGTTTACTGCAAAGAGCCTGAAGTAAATGATTATACTCACCAGAACTAATACAATAGGCTGAAATTGTTCTGGTGACTATAGTGTACCTTTAATTAATCATAGTGAAGGTAATACTGTATTAATCCCCTAGCATGATTATTTTTTGTTACTTCATGATTACTAATCTGTCTTTATGCGCTAGCCAAATTGTTACCTTGCTGATGCTTTTTGCATCCCTAGCAGTTGTGTTGTAACAGGAGGCCTGCGGTGGGAAGCAAATTTTAAGTCTGGCTTGTAGTGTAAGACCTTAAATTATGAGCAGTGCAGCTGCCTCACTATATGTTCGAAAGAACAGGAGACTGAGATGCGTGTGGGGAGAGGGATGCCTCATTGCTCAGGAAAGGGGCAAAGAGTTAATTATAGGGCAGGGCATGATGGTGAAACTAGAGGAAGTAGAGTGTGAAGGAAGAAAAAGAGAGGACAGGATGTGGGGGGAATTGAGTGGAATGGGTGGGGGATAGGTGCAGGATAGTGTATGTAAAATTGTGTGAAGACATAGACGGGCAATTTAAATATACGACCACTTATATTTGTGCTTTCCCAGAGCTCTTTTGTTCATAATGTGCCCCTAGTGGATAAACATACATTATCTTTAAGCGAGAACTTTCATCCTTTTCTATCACGTTAATTTCTGAGAGATCACATCATGTCTAATATCATGAAACAGTTAATCAACACAGCCCCAGAGCACTCATAAATCAATGAAAACACCAGCGAGCCAGGATTAGAATTCATTTAACCATGAGTCATATACTCTCATATAAAAAAATCTATCTTATCTCCCAAATTTTAATAAATACCCATACATGATTTCAAAGTGGCGACCATTTTTTCTTCGATACAAGCCTATAATAGAATAAAATCACTCCGGTATGCTGTAGCAGAAGCTCGACGTCAGTACAGGCAAGGCTTCCAGTAGCTGCTGTTGGACTTTTCTTTCACCCAAGTTTGCTAGATCTGACATGATTTCAGAATGCATAATACTCGTATGTACTGGTGGGTTGTACATGAAAGTTTCTGCTCTGATACATATATAATTCATGTGCCGAACGAAGGCAATCAGGAGTCGCAAAGGTACTGTCTTGATCTTACAAAATTCTAATAATACATACTAGAGGACAGCACTTTTCATGCACTGCACCCTAACCTAAAGAAGAGATGTATGTCCATGAAATATTATGGATCTATCCGCTTACTCCAACTCATTGTTCTGTTATAATGGCAAACATTCAGTTTACTGCTCAGTATGACTATTATTTGTTACACTTAGGGCTGGCTGAGAGTTCTGTGATTTTTGGTTGACACCAGCTGGAGCACCAAGTATTTTCCATCTGTAATGTGAGGTCTTATATCTGGAGTGTGCATGTTATATAATGACATATCACTTCTTCGCGTCATCATCATAATAACAATAACAACAACAAAGTATTTAACCAGGAAAGGCACATTCAGATTACTCTGGTTTTCTTTTTCTTTTTTTCATTCAAGGTTTTTATTAGTGGTAGACATTACATACAGGTAAAGTTTAGCGTTGACAGATCGGATTGCATTGCTGGGCAGGCTATCATTGGATACAGTTCTAGTTACATTTTACAGATGTACATTTTATACGTTGCAGATCACATATCTAACAATATCAGCTGTATCGAACTTTACCTTGGTTTGGGTGTTTTACTGGTTTAGGGTGTGTGGTGAGGGTTAGCCTTGAACAGCGGCATCAATTGAATACACAGTGCTGTTAAAGTGTGGGCTGTGATGTGGAGTGTGCAAGGTGAATCTTGACGCTCAAGTGTAAGGAGGAGAAGTTCGCGGGCAGCAGGGAGAAGCAAGCCAGGGGTCCCCCGTGAGTGGGTCTGTTCGGAGTCTGGTGGGTGGAGTCGGGGAGGCGATTGTTGTGAGGGTGGTGTGCAATCTGGCCGGGATTTCTCTCTCTCTGGGTTACTGTCGCGTGTGTGGTTGCCGTGCAAGTCGTGGCAGTCATGTCTTCCCTCTTCGGTTGTCTGGACGCTTCGGTCAGATGTGCGGGGTCGTTGGGGTGTTGCTGAAGCGTTGTGTGGTCGTCTTGGTCATTGTTGTTGTCTGGGGTTTGGTGTCGGGGGGGTCACTGTCGGTTGGGGGGCGTTCCGGGTCGTGGGGCATGGCTGGTGTCTTGCTTTGTGGTTGGTTCTGTGTGCTGGACTTCCAGGTATCCCAGGAAGGGCATTTGGTGTTGGGCCCATTGTTGTTTGAACCGTGTGGGGTCACGTGTGTGGGCATGTTGAGCTGCTGTTCTTCCCTGTCGATGAGGGGGGGTTGTTTGTGTGAGTAGTTCGTGTCTCTGTGCTGTCGTGTCAGTGGTGGATTGTGTGTTATGAGTTGCAGGGTGGGGGAGGAGAGGGGGCAGAGGGGAAGGGGGGGTGGTCCAGTGCGGAGCGAGAGTCTGAAAGATGGAGGAGGGGGGAAGCAGGTTCGAGGTCAAGCAGGGAGGGATATGGAGGGTCAGGGGTAGGTGAGGGAGGTCTGGACCCAGAACCCCACCCTAGCTCCCCTCACCCCCGGGCTGGGGCCGCAGTCTATCATGTCCCCTGTAGTCCTGTCCTCTCTCTCCGGGATATGGCGTGGTGCAGGGTCCGCGGGGTCTCCATGGGGCGACGGGGCTGGTGTCCTTGTCTCTGTGATCTCTTCGACTGGTCCAGCCGAGGCCGGTAATCCTCTATCCGCCTCCGGGGGTTGTGCGTCTCCCGCGTCCGTAGCAGGGGAGGAAAGCCAATGGAGCCAGTGGTACCATGTATCATGGTAGCGTTGTATGTGTTCCGCCGCGGAGTGGATAAGCTCCTCTATACGTCTGATGTCCTCCACTATGGTCATCCATTCTCTTAAGATCAGGGCCGTGTGTCGTTTCCAGTGTCCCGGGATGAGGCTACATGTCGCGTTCAGTAGGTATGGTATCGATGATTTTTAAAATTTGTTTATGGGTATCGTGGTCAGTTGGAGCAGGTATGTTTTAGGTGTGGGTTGCAGATTCGCATCGGTTATGGTCATTAGCACTGTGTGGACCGCTGCTCAAAAGGGCTTGATAAGTGGACATGACCACCAAATGTGGAAGAGGGATCCCAGTTCTTTCCCGTATCTCCAGCATTCCGGGTAGTTTGTGGCTTTCATCACTACTCTGGTTTTCAAGTATGTTACCTTAGCCCAACATCCAGGGGTTGTTACTGTTACCCAATTTAATGGTACTCATTTTATCTACCTCGGAAGGATGAAGAGCTGAGTCAACATAATGAATCATTAGCGCTGCCAGATCAACAGTTGATATAGAGAGACCTGTTAAAACAAGTCATACTTCATGGCTGTGTTCTGTCAAGACACACTTGAAATATTCATTCACAATGTGCTGCTTAAAGGGACTCTCCAGTGCCAGGAAAACAACCTGTTTTCCTGGCACTGCAGGTCCCATCTCCCTCCCACCACCCATCCCCGGTTGTTGAAGGTCCCTCGGCTGTGGTTTCGGGTCGCCGCCGCTCCTCCCCTTCATTACGTCAGTCGGCAGGGGAGACTGATGCCGCCCGCCGGCTGAGGAGAACTAATGCGCATGCGCGGCATTAGAGCTCTCCATAGGAAAGCATTGAAAATGCTTTTCAATGCTTTCCTATGGGGAATTGAGCGATGCTGGAGGTTCTCACACAGCGTGATTACGTCCAACGACGCTCTAGCACAGAAAACCTGTCCTATGAAGCAGAAAGTGCCCTCTAGTGGCTGTCTAGTAGAAAACTGCAATAATTACAGTTGCAGGGTTAACCCAGACCACTCCAATGGGCAGAAGTAGTCTGGGTGGCTGGAGTGTCCCTTTAAATAAAATTATGCTTTGTCAACTTAATGCGTCATAAACTTTTAATTTTTGAGACAGGGCCGTGTAAGTTTTGGAACTGTCAAGACACGTGGTGTGGTTGTGTGACACCTGATTTCCCCTAAGTCTTCCTGATCACCTGGCATACCAGCTCTGTCAGCCAGTGTTGGGAGAACTGATGGAACATGCACCGCATGCACCTGTTTAACTGCACTTAAGTTAAATTCGGGGCATTTTAAATCCAGAGACCAGCAGCATTGGGTATATGAGCAGCCTTGCTTGGCAGCCCAGTTGGTCAGCCTGTCATCCAGAGGTATGCATGCATGTCGAGATGACGTGCCCCTTTATAGGTGGGGATGTTGTCCATAATTCTGCTTACATAAGGGGTACTTCCACCCAAGGGCTACATTCTCTCCTATTCGATATCAGACCAACCAAAGTTGGCAGGTGTAAAGTTAAAAAGTCGTATTATGCCATATGCCTGTTAACATGAATTTCATGTCTTCTTGCATAAAAAGTTGCAATTGAATTATCCTCTACACGTTTCAGCCCTTTGTACATCTCTTAATATACTGGAGATTGTATTACTTGTGTAACCCTCAACTGGCTATTAAAGGAACCCAAACATGTATTATTGCTTAACACTATAGTGTATCCTGCCAAGTTGGGTTACTTGGGAAACCTTTGCTCCCTTTCATTCTCAATCGTAATGGCCTCAGCAAATCCACTGCTTCCCCAGAGGGAAGCATTGGAAGGCTTGTGCACATGTACAGCAAGTTGAAAGGAACCACAAAATCCTATGGTGTGATATTAACTCCAAATATGGTGCTATTAAAGTGGTACTGTCATACATTATATAATTAAAGGTGTTATTTCTCTCCCAGGGAACTAGGGGCTAAAAATTAAATAGTGAGAAAATTAGACCCGGGTTGTTCAGCACTCGGGGCTCAATCAGACCACGTGGTGGTTTTCTTCTCTCCCGTTAGCTCCTCTGTGGCAATTAAAGTGACAGGCATAGTTTGCTAGAGTGTGTCTGCCTTCACCCTGTTAACACTTCTTAACGAGCTCAGCTAGAAGTGTGAATGAAAATCTATGTATCCTTGCAGCTATTTTAAGCTAACTTTGCAAAAATAACCTAAAAGCAAACATGCAAAATAAAGTATATGCATGTTTTCTTTGAGAGCATATCTGCTAAAGTGTAAGCAAGTATACAATAAAGTGTTCATTTAATTAAAAAGATTTGGCAGGCACTTTGGAGTTTTGGGGAAGCGTAGGGATAGCACGTTCTCATTGGACCCAATGATTGGACCCAAGCAGCGCAATCATTTGGGCAAGGCCTGAGTGTAGCGAGTACCCTGTACCCACTTTCATCTATGAGATTGGCTTACAGCTGCAGTCAGTTACGCAGCTGGTTCTCTGTTTTGTCCTTACTGTGCGTGGAAACAGTGCAGGCAACACATAGCTTTTACTAATGTCTCATTCGGCCGTCTCCTCAGCATAACTGAACAATGACGAATAACTACTTATCCCATAAACCGCCGCTGGATAGGGGTTGGTCAGATAAGAGCAGATCCCATAGACAGGAACGCTGAATCTTTTCCTGGTGAGGAAGTTTAAATATATATTTTGTTTTGTCTAATTTTTTTTCTGCATATTTTAATTCCTCAGCTATATAATTCATTACAATTCAGTCTAAAGAAAATAAACCGTTTTACTAATAACTTAGAATATACCCCGGTAGCTGGATAATATTCTTTTTCCCTCCCCAAGTCATTTCACTATCATTCCTGTACTGAAGAACCCAGGCTGTTTTCCAAATATAATTATTCCTCCGTATAACCGCTCACCTTCCAACATTTGAAATGGACAAAGAGGGACACTTTAATATTAGTAATGCGAGTGGGGGTGTGGCCAGGGGCAGGGCTGTTCTGAGAAATTTTAGATGAATTACTAAAATCCATTTATACGACTTAAATGTATGTTTTGAAATACCTCTGTGTAAACAGGATACATTGTTATTGATAGAAATTACATTCTAGTTATATTAATTGTTATTAGTAAGTCACCTAAAGTTTCTCAGAACCCCATGGCCACACCCCTAAAATTAAAGTGCCCTTCTCTGTCCATTTGACATGTTGGGACACATGCTTTGTTCTCACTGCACATCCTGCTCAGTCATCGCCTATGCGCATCAGATCTCACAAAGCACCAACTGATGGAGGCTGAGAGGACATGACATCATAGCCCCACCTCCTCCATCAGCTGCTGCATCAGTGTGCAAAAGGGAGCAATGGCAGCAGGCTGGGCTGGAAGAATAGCCTACAACTCGCCCCAGATGGCACCCAGCAGATCACTACTCATACAGGGTTAGGAGATTGGACAGAGTGGGGATTAAATGGGAGGGTTAGAAAATGGTAGGAAATGATTAAGGAAATGGGGTTAATGAGATGGGAGGAAGGGGTTAATGAAATAAGGGACTAGGGAGACGGGAGGAAGGGGTTAATGAAAAGTGGTTAAAGGAGATGAGAGGAAGGGGTTAATGAAATAAGGGACTAGGGAGATGGGAGCAAGGGGTTAATGAAATAAGGGGCTAGGGAGATTGGAGGAATGGGTTAAGTAATAAGGGGCAAGGGAGATGGGAGGAAGGGGTTAATTAAATACGGGGCAAGGGAGATGGGAGGAAGGGGTTAATTAAATAAGGGGCAAGGGAGATGGGAGGAACGGGTTAATAAAATAAGGGGCAAGGGAGATGGGAGGAAGGGGTTAATGAAATAAGGGGCTAGTGAAATGGGAGCAAGGGGTTAATGAAATAAGGGGCTAGGGAGATGGGAGGAAGGTGTTATTTAAATAAGTGGCAAGGGAGATGGGAGGAAGGGGTTAATTAAATAAGGGGCTAGGGAGATGGGAGGAAGGGGTTAATGAAATGGAATTAATAAGATGGGAGTGAAGGGATTCATTACAAACGTGTATTCCTAACACGCTAGTTTTCCCCTCTGATCTCCCCAAATGTAAATTAAATATTGAAAAAAGGATTTTACTCCCTTTTTTTCCCACTGCCAAGATCCAGTCCCCACTGCCACCTCCCTCAACGTCACACTGATTCTTTGTGTCATCCAGTACAATGCTTCTCATACAGGAGCATTGGGGACAAAACGAACAAGTGCGGCCAGCTTAGTGCTCTTCCAGTTAAATGGAGGCTAGCTGTGAGAACCAAGTTTGACTAACATACCCTTGGGCTGAAGCCCCTAATCGTTTTGTCACTTAGCAACTTCCTTGCTGGTGTGCATTCATTATAAAGCTGAAATCTGTTTTGTCGACAATTTCTATGAACGTCGCATTGTAAATATGATCATGTGTTCAAATCAATGTATATGCTCTTCTGCATAATCCGAGTTTTAACGGAACACTTAAGACCCTTATTGCACCTGAGCTTGCTGAAGTCATTTATGTGTAAAGAGTGTGTCCTCTTATTTTTTTTAATAAAAAGGGCAGATTTCGATAGAATTTGGTACTCATAAAAATTAACCTTGTTACATCCCCTGACTTTCAGTCAGACCATAGGTCCTGTTATTTTCTGGTTTGGTTAGTTCTGTGGAGCTAAACTCAAGAGAACTGCATTGCAAAGACTTCTCATTGAGCTACATTAGGAATTCTATGAGAGATCTATGGCAATATACCTCAGCACAGAATGCACCTGTCATGGTTGAATATATTTTTTACCTGTTATGAATTACATTTATACGTGTGTATGTATATATAGATTGTTTGTTTATTGTATTTTTGTAATATTGTATCCTATTGTAACTGCAATGTTTTGTGGACCCAGGACACTTGAAAACTAGAGAAATTTCAATGTATCCATCCTGGTAAAATATTTTATAAATAAATAAATAAATTCAGTGTTTCTACCAATAGAATAAAAGAGTAGTCAAGCCAGAGTAGCTTTGGCACAGAACCCAAACTGACACAGTTCGGTAGCTCTAGGACACCTAGCTGGAATAGGTCCTTTACATACAAGAAACTTCGTCATGGTCTGTGGCTACACCACGGTCCCGTCTTTGTATGATATTGTACAATGTCAACTCTGATCAGTGACGCTCACATTATTTGAAATAACATATAACACTTTCATGAGCCACTGATCATATTCTAACTAGGGGGAGCTGATTACTAGGTATGCACCTTGTGACCTGTTAGATTTTAAAAACAACTGTGGATGACTGAGGCTTCTGTTCAATAAATGCATATTAGACTTTAGGCCGCATTTTCATGTGGTTTGGCCTGAAATGGCTAACATAGGAATGTACTGGGGAGGTTGCCGATTCCAAATCTGTTTTTTAAGCAGCTATATTACCGTGATTTGGATGGACTGGATCAGGGGTGGCCAAAATTAGGGCATTTAAGTCCAAACTGCTATTTTTTCAGGCTAAGCTATTTTGCGCTAGCAGTTGCAATTTCTCTGTGATTTCTTTACAATTCTGGATTCAATAAATAAATAAAATAAAAAAAAAAAAAAAATATATGAGCATCATGGACTGTGTGAAAATACTAATTTAAATCGTATTAGTCTGCCTTTGTTTCTTTATGTTGTAAAACAAAACCTCAAACATATTTGATTTTTTTTCTTCTCTGATTTAAATAAAATGTTACAAAGGTATTTTGCCCTCTTTGTTTCAGGACAAAAAATCCTTCATCACAGAAGTGATGTTTTGGAGACGGTGGTTTTAATCAACCCATCCGATGAAGCAGTCAGTACTGAGGTGAGTTACTTATAACGAAAGTTTTTATTGTACGGTGACTCCCTTTGTTCTACAGACACTCTTATTTATCTCCCCTATCTTACCCCTTGTTATGATTATCGTAAAACGTACTTACAAGACTTGTGCATTTATGCTTTTTAGCAATATTTGTTTTTTAAATAAATTCTTTATTTACGATATTTTGAAATTTTTGAAAGTGCAACATTGAAGGAGATTACAGAAAGGAAAAATACAGACGTTAGATTGGATAGGCTGCATTTCCAAGTAGCTTAAAGTTGTAAGGCAACCACATTGCACACAAAAATAACATGTAATCATAGTGTTGATCGTTAATTTGTGTCGGATTTCCAATTTCCAGCCTGGGGTAGTGGGATGCACATTGTTACATAAGCTAAAGGGAATGCCATAATGGCTAAAGAACGGTGAGGCCCATGTCGGTGGTGATAGGAATGGGGAGTCTGTGATCTGGAGTCTATCACCGTTTAGCTCAATAGCAGGTTCAGGGGGGGTACACGGATGTGTGTTGTAGAATGCAAGGTATGGGTGTGTTGATAGCTGGAGCAAAACAATATTTGTATGTAATGAATTGAGGACCTGTGGCCCCTGAGGCCGTAGAGTGTGGTGGAGGGGTTAGTCCATGTTGTTAGCGAGTGGTAGTTTTCGGTTCGTCTGAGTCCAGGGTGTAATATATTTTGACTCTATGCCTGAACAAATCGATCAGTGGAATTTTATTTCAATGATTGACTTCACAGGTAAATCTTGAACTGATTGTTTTGTTGGGTGCAGATTAAAAGGAATTTGATTCGTCGGTACTAGCTGAAAAGCATTATTAATGCACAAGTCTTTCACTTATCCTGTTTCTCTTGATTTGCTTTCTTTACTGGTGTATAATAATCACATGTACCAGTTTTGGGGGATTCACCATATATTTATATTGGCAAAAAAAAATCACCTGCGCACTAACTAAATTATCTTTAATATGTAATTAATTGAGCACTGTAAGTACCAAAACCATTGTGGCATATTACAATAGTTTTGATGTCATGAATCTGCCTTCCCGTCATTTTCTGCAAAACAGTTTTTGAGCATTTTGACCGAAACCATCAGCCTTCCTGGACCTAAAGACTGGTCTATCACTACTATCACTTCCAATGAGATAATAGAGCAGATTCACTTATACATCATACGCCCAGGGATGTCCAACCATAGATTAAATTTTCACATTTTCACTATCATATTTCCTGCCTGTTCTATGTTAAATATTGTATTTATTGTGTATTAATATTGTTTTTGTATTTTATTGTACCCTAATTGTAACAATGCAATGATTTGTGGACCCAGGACATACTTGAAAACGAGAGAAATCTCAATCTATCTTTCCTGGTAAAATATTTTATAAATAAATAAATAAACCAGTCAAGGTCTCTATGCAAACTTTTGCATGAACTTTGGGTAGCTTTTTATAAATTCTAAAAATATGGTTATTACTAAAGTTAAAACATATGTTTGTTTTTTTTAACCTTTATATTTTTACTCACATCATTTTCCGCACCCAAGGTAGAGTTAATATAATGCTAGGATTTGACAGGTTAAACTGTGTTAACCTGTGGATAGTAGGAGTTATAGTCTAAAACAGCTGGAGTTTCCAATCACTTCTTAATAGTCTACAAACAACTAGTCACTTAGCTACTTTTTCATTGACGTTCTATAAAGGCGTTCTATAGCCGCTCTAATAGCCGCTCTAATTACTTGGTCCCTTCTGCCTTAAACCTGTTAAGAAATCCATATGTGAAGTCAGAAAACACAGGACGCACTGTTCTGTACTCCGTAAATGCAATATCAACTGATTGGATCTGAGTGGTTGACTTTGACTCGAGTCATTATATTACTGCTGTTGTACATCCAGAGGAAACAATTAGATGATTCATTAAGAATTACACAGCAGATCAGTTTCCTGCGAGGTTCTGTTCAGTGTAGTGGCCTGTTTTACGATATCTTTAAACTCTTCAATTAGAGGTCATTTCCTCATAGCCTTGTAATCACAGAGGAAAACAAATAGCTCAAAATCTCGATCTCGTTTTCATTCCTCGTTGTTTTACTTCTATTATGTAAAAATGATTGTTTTACTTTAAATAATAACATAAGTATTTTTATCATCATTTTTAAATTGACCAGTACCAATTCATAATTAGAGATGGATAGACATTTCCATGTGAAGTCAGAATTTGTAGTATTTTTCAAGTTGTGATCATCGGAATAGTAGGTAGGATGTTTGAAAGTGTATTTACTAATCATAACCAGTATCAAATCAGAAAATGTGATCATAAACACCCTAAAATATTGAGGGTTGAATAAAACAAAACTATGTGCAATATTTTGGTTTGTAATTTTTTCTGGAAATAAAGTAATTTTTACTTTGTCCCCTTGTTAAAAGAATACTGAAGTCATTATTGTTTTGTCTATTGTTAGATAAACTGTTTGTCAGTCTCCTCCACCACCTAGTTTCTGTTTGGTCTAACGTTCTCACAGAGGCTCTGCTGTTTATCACTCTATATGGACCATACTGAATTCCTATTGTCTTTCCTTTCGTCCTTTACTTCCCCCGTATGTTACAGAGCTGTAACTGGTGGAGCTAAAATCACTTACTGCTTGGTGATTGAGTAGCAACACTTATCCTGACATATATCTTTTACCATCAGCAACTTATTTGGGGGTGTGCGAAAGGGAAAAACAACATGGCATACTGCATCTTTTTCTGTTGTAGAGATATTCTGACCCCCCAAAATTATTAGAATTTAATTACCTTTAAAAATGCACAGTAATGTGCTCTGTTAATACTCTCAACGGAAATTCTGATTTAATAAAGCACCAAAGTATTACAGTAAGGGACAGCTACTATGGTTTCTTGGAAGACGTTACAAATAGTAAAATGATTTATGACTTACGAGAAAATTGATTTAAAGTGTATAGACCTTCCTTTGCCTACTGGTGTAAAGTTTTAATGGAATGCTTTCTGTTTGACTTGTGACAGGTACGATTAATGATCACAGACGCCGCGAGACACAAGCTTCTAGTGCTCACTGGACAATGCTTTGAAAATACTGGTGAACTTATACTGCAATCAGGATCTTTCTCATTCCAAAACTTTATTGAAATCTTCACAGACCAAGAGGTAAGATACCATGGTAAAGATATGTGCGTAAACAATTATATCACAGGAATCTACTGTTGTCTTAGACTGTCTCCTGGGGAATTCTTGGGGCACATGGTATGGTATGAAGTGTGTTGGTGTCTAAGTGTGGTGTGCAATTGCACGGGAGCTACAGGAATCTAGAGAAGGAGGTTTGTAAAAGGCAAAACATTTCAGAAGTAAATGGCACAAACTGTGACTGAGCTCTAAATCTGGCTGTTAATACCTCTAGGGGATCTTTAATGGTAATATTGTTAGTGAATAATTTACAAAACCTAGAGGGCGTAGCTTCATATTTCACTATATAAAGCCTCAACTGATAGATACAGTCACAACTTCTTTTCAATCCAATACGGCTGCTACATGACTACTGGGCAAGAAGGCTTACCATTTCACCATTGAATCTTCATAACTTAATTTTCAATCCAAGTACAAACCATGACACCTAGTGAAGTTTTAAAATGCCCTCTAGGGGCCAATAGAGCATGTCTGAAGTGCTCTCTGGGCAGATTTAAAAAATTACCTAAATTCTACACATGTCCACTTGTCCTCAACAGCTTATACAAACAGCCATTATTCATAATTAATTAATCAGTCTGTGTTGTAGAGGAAGCAGGGGAGAGAAAATTATAGTGCAGCAGAGCTCTATGGTGTATGCGTGTCATTTATAATGAAAATGTATTATTTTGACAAGAATTAAAATATTATAATAATATTTTGCGATTTTTATAGCGCTTTACTCTACAAGTATACAAACATAAAGACATAAAAGTTAGGAGTTTCTGAAGGTCAGCTGAGTGGACTGAATGCCTGATGAAAGTGGTGGGTCTTTAGCTTTTTTTTAAAAAGTCTGTAAAGACGGTGCCTCTCTTATTGTGCGTGGTAAAGAGTTCCAGAAGGTGGGGGCAGCGTGGCTGATTGCCCTTGGACCTGAGTCTGTCTTTATTCTTGGCACTGACAGTAAGGATTTAATGGCTGACCGAAGTGAACGGGAGCTCTTTCAGATACTGTGGGCCTTGATTGTTTAAGGATTTGAAGGTTAGCAGGCCAATTTTTAAATATGTTTGACATTTAATTGGAAGCCAATACAGGCAGTGGAAAACAGGAGGTTATGTGGCAGGAGTGAGTTTGATTGGCCAGTAGTCTGGCTGCTGCATTTTGTACAGTCTGAAGGCGATGGAGTTCTTTTTATGGGAGGCCCAAGTAAAATATATTGCAGTAATCTAGCCAGTGAAATTAAGTGTTGTATCTTGGCTATGTTTTTGAGATGAAAGTAGGAAGATTTTATTACGGAGGAAATCTGCTGTTTAAATGATAGTCCAAAGTCAATCAGCACTTCCAGAGTCAATTAAGAGATTTTTGTTGCCCGTGGTCCCCTCACCAAGAGTAACTCTGTTTTGTCCGGGTTCACTTTAAGCCAACTAGCATTCATCCATTCTATGAGGTCTACTAAGCAACTGTTGATGCGGCATGTTGGGTCTGTGGTATCTGGAGCAAAGGAGAAGTAGAGTTGTGTGTCATTAGACATGCAGTCTGGGTCTAATAAAGGTTTCTTTAGGAGTTGGTTCACCACAGCTTCTTTTAGAGGATCTGGGAAGGTTTTAGTGAACACTGCACTATTTTTGTGAGGGCTATCTCAATGCATGCAGATATAAGCTGAGTTGGAGCAGGGTCTAAGTCACATGTAGTAGGGTGTAACTTTCGCATGGTTCTTTTAACTCCCTTTATATCCACGTTTGTAAAAGTGGACCATAAACTGGGGCAATCTGGCATTCCATTGTAGTGGTTCAGGTGTGTAACTGTTTGGCCTCCTGAGATAGAAGCTCGGATTGAGGAAATCTTGTCTCTGAAGAAGATCGCAAATGCTTCAAACTTATCCTGAGAAAAGTTGGTGGGGATATGCATGCATACTGGTTTGCAGAGCCTTTCTACTGTGCAAAACAGTTGCCTGGATCTATTGTGGGAGAGTGCAATTTTGCGTGATAAAAATGAATATTTTTTCTGAGTCATCTTGAATTGATATTCATTTAGATGTTTGGTAAGAGCGGCTATATCCTCTGGATCATGTGTCCTGCACCACTTTCTATCGAGTTTACGGTCTGTTCTCTTCATTTCTCTGATGGTGTTATTAAACCACGATGCACTGTTGTAGGTTTTGACTGTGTGTATGTGTGTTGGTGCAATGCTTTCTAGGATATCTCTCATGGTTTTGTTTTAGAGTCGGACTAAGGAGCTGGGGTCTTCACAAGTGCCCATGCTGCTCTAAGTGCCTTTACGGACAAGTCTCCTCTGGACAGTGGTCAACATATTGCCAGTGATAAAAAGAAAAATAAACTAAAATTAAATAGAAGTAAAAATAAATGGATACTTTTAGGTTTGAAAATCTATCAATCTATCTATCATCTATCAATGCTAATCCATTTCCCTCATTCAACACACATGATAATAATTTTCTGCTGTATATAACATGTTAATCATTTTCTACTGTCAAAGTTAATTCATTTTACTAAATTAACATGCATAGTCTTTCATATTCTTCTAGTGAGCACATATAATTGCTTTATATCTGCATGCAGGGCCATTTTTATTTTTTTACCAATTAATACAAAAATATGTTGGTGTATATTTTATTGTAAAAAATTGAATATCTTTACAGTTATATAGCAAAAACTTACCAGTATTAAAAAAAAAATAGGATGTCTAATAATTTATCGTCAAACTTACACCTTGATTTTATATTTTTGGATAAGCATTTCAAACAATTTAATATTTTTATACATTCTTTTAAAAGAATGTAATGTTTTAAAAATGATGTTACTATATTAATATACTATGATAATACTTTCGATATACATAATATATTTTATGATATTTTTTAATGTTTTGAAAAAATCATTTTAAAAGTTTGTTTTTAAAAAATATGAAATGGTTAGAACAGCTTATCCAAATATATCAAATCGAGGCCATTATTTTGACATTTGATACCTTAAGTGAGGTTGCAAACTATGTTCCATAACTCCTTGTGTTGGTCTGTAGCTTCTACAATTTTCTGCTTGCCAAAAGCTACCCGAGTTTAATAGGCGCTGTACTCGAAGAGCAGGTGGTATGTTGGATACCATTCACGCTCCCCGAAATAACATTTCGGCTGAGATCAATCAATTTAAACATACAGTACTTGTATTATCTGTGCTATTTTGAAGCACCATTAATCTCTGTGTACTCTTTGTTTTAACACTAGATTGGTGAACTGCTAAGTAATACACATCCTGCTAACAAGGCAAGCTTGACACTATTTTGTCCTGAAGAAGGATATTGGAAAAATTCAAATCTAGACAGGCACAACCTTCAAGATTTCATAAACATCAAACTTAATTCTGCTTCAATTTTGCCTGAAATGGAAGGACTTTCTGAATTCACAGAGTACTTGTCAGAATCTGTAGAAATACCTTCACCTTTTGATACTTTGGAGCCACCAACCTCTGGAGGCTTTTTGAAGCTTTCAAAGCCTTGTTGCTATATTTTCCCCGGTGGCAGGGGGGATTCAGCTCTGTTTGCTGTAAATGGATTCAACATGCTTATTAATGGAGGATCAGAGAGAAAGTCTTGCTTCTGGAAACTCATTAGACATTTAGACAGAGTAGATTCTATTTTACTCACCCACATTGGAGATGATAACTTGCCTGGTATTAATAGTATGCTGCAAAGGAAAATGTCAGAGCTGGAAGAGGAACAGTCTCAGGGTTCAACAACTAATAGTGATTGGATGAAGAACTTGATATCACCCGACCTTGGTGTTGTGTTTTTAAATGTTCCAGACAACTTGAAAAATCCAGAACCCAACTTTAGAATCAGAAGAAGCATAGAAGAAGCATGCTTTACTCTCCAATATTTAAATAAACTATCTATGAAACCAGAACCTCTTTTCAGGAGTGTGGGAAACACAATTGACCCTATTATTTTATTCCAAAAAATGGGTGTTGGGAAACTTGAGATGTATGTTTTAAACCCAGTGAAAGGTAGTAAAGAAACGCAATACTTTATGCAGCAGTGGACGGGTAGCAATAAAGAGAAAACTGGCTTGGTGCTACCCAATGGTCAAGAAGTTGAAATTCCTGTAAACTATTTAACTTCCATTTCATCACTGATTGTATGGCATCCAGCAAATCCTTTAGAAAAGATAGTGAGGGTTTTATTTCCTGGAAATACCACCCAATATCAAATTCTTGAAGGTTTGGAGAAACTTAAGCATCTGGATTTCCTGAAACAGCCTGTAATCACACAGAAAGACCTAAGTGATAATACACCAAGCCCTGCCGTAAAACAAGCAAAACTGAAACAAAGAGCAGAGAGCAAAGAAAGTTTGAAGATGTCAATGAAAACCACTTCCAGCAAGACAGTCAAAAAAGACTCAAAGGACGAATCAACTGAACCTCTAAAAATTTCACAAACTGAGCAGGCTCCAAAACTAGAAAGCAAAGAAAAAGTTGTAGTTAAGAAGACACAAAAAACAGAGTCTAAAATTGTGCCAGAAAAAAATGTATCCAACAAAGAAGAGCCAGTTATTAAATCGGAATCCGTTGAAAAGCAAAAGACAGAAGTTAAACCTAAAGCCATGAAAGAGAAAGCAGTAAAAAAAGAAGTAAAAGCAAAATCAGAAGATGTCAAAGAAGATAAAGAAAAGCCAAAAAAAGAAACTCCTAAAAAGGAAGAGAAAATAACAGTTAAAAAGGAAGAGAAACTAAAGAAAGAGGTGAAGAAAGAAACAAAGAAAGAAGACAAAAAGGAGGTGAAGAAGGAGGCCAAAAAAGAAGTGACACAGAAGGACCCAAAAAAAGATGAGAAAAAGGAAGCTAAAAAAGAGGAAAAAGAAAAGAAAGAGGAGAAGGAAATAAAAAAAGAAACCAAGAAAATTTCCAAGGATGTAAAGAAAGCTTCTGCCCCAACTCCGGAACCAAAAAAACCTGCTGTGAAAACGAAAGTGCAAAAGAAGGATGATCATGTAAAAAAAGATTCTGTAACTCCAAGCAAAACCAAGGAAAAGAGTAAAGTAACCAAGAAAGAAACCAAAATCACAGGGAAGAAGGCTGTGGCAGCTGCGGCAGCTGTCGTTTCCACTGCGGCCGTATCTGCTGCCGCTGCTGTGGCTTCTGTTTCAGCTGCGGCTGCACCCACTGCCAAAGTAACAGAACTTGAGGCTCAGAGATCCTTAATGTCCTCTCCAGAGGATTTGACAAAAGACTTTGAAGAACTCCAAGATGAAGAAGGCCTATTGAAAAAAGAAGTGAAACCTCACCTTGATGCCTTAGAACCTAGTAATGAAGCAGAGATAGTACAGAGTGAGTCTTACATCATAAAGAAAGATAACACAAGCAGTGAAGAACCTGCAGATTCTCCTGATGAAGGTATAACCACCACAGAAGTTGAAGGTGAATGTGAACAAACTCCAGATGAATTAGAGGTACTAGAGAAACAAAGAGTAGATGAGAACGAGAAATTTGAAGATGAAGGAACGGGGCTTGAGGAATCCTCTGAAGCTGGGGACTATGAAGAAAAAGCAGAGACAGAAGAAGTTGAGGAACAAGTAGAAGATATAGAAGAAAGAACATCACTAGGAGAGCAACCAGCCACTGAAATTGCTGAAGCTGATGAAACTGAAGAGGAAGCTGAAACTGATGTCTATGAGCACATAAAAAGCAAGCATGGCAGTCATGAAGATATTGTTGATTCTGAGGTAGGGGATGAACAAGCTGAAGATGAAATTGATGAGAGTGCTGAAAAAGGAGAAGCTGAGGAAACTGATGAAGAAGTAGAAGAAGAGAAAATAGACAATGAAAAAGATGATGAAAGGGAAGTTGAAAAATTAGAAGCTGAAGAAGTTTATACATCTACCATAAGAAACAAATCTGAGTTTTTCAGTGACATAGAAGATAAATATGCACTATCAGCTACACCATCTAAGACATCTGAGCCCCAGTCACCAGCTGTAGAGCCAGGTGCTTCTATTCATGATGAGACCTTACCTGGGGGTTCAGAAAGTGAAGCAACTGTTTCTGATGAAGAAAATAAAGAAGACCAGCATGAAGAGTTTACTGCTACATCCGGTTTTACACACTCCACAATTGAAATTTCAAGCGAACCAACTCCCATGGATGACATGTCAACTCCAAGAGATGTAATGAGTGATGAAACAAACAATGAAGAAAGTGAATCACCATCTCAAGAGTATGTCAATATTACAAAGTATGAAGCTAACCTATACTCCCAGGAATATGACAGAACAAAAATATCACCACTTCCAGATGTTTTAAATGGATTTTCTGATGTGTCAAAAACCGATGCAACTGATGGTAAAGAATACAGTGTTTCAGCTTCTACTATTTCTCCTCCATCATCATTAGAAGAGGACAAATTTAGTAAATCATCTTTGCGTGAGGCATACATATATGGAAATATCGAAGTAGAAGGTTCAACGAAACTAGAAATTCATGACAATTTTGAGCTTAAAGAAAACCACAGTCCAAATAAAAGTCCAATTGCCTCATCACCCATTTCTAAAACACCAGTGAGTGAAAGAAGTGTTAATTTTGATCTGACTCCTAATGAAATTAAGACATCAGAGCTTGAGGTTTTACCACCATTGCCAGATGAAGTCCATGAACTCACTGAACAGTGTGCTAGTCCAGATGAGAAAACTTTAGAAGTTGCTTCTCCTTCACAATCCCCTGCAGGAAGCGCAGGCCACACTCCATACCATCAGTCACCAACCGATGAGAAATCTGCAAACCTTGTTTCACAATCTGTGGAAAAGACTTCTATTCCTGTTATATTTGAGTTTTGTGATACCAAAGAAAACACTGATAGCAGCAGAATAAGTCCCATGGATGAACCAGTGCCTGATTCTGAATCCCCAATAGAGAAAGTTTTATCCCCATTACGTAGTCCACCATTGATAGGGTCAGAAATGTCGTATGAAATGTTATTGACAACAGATGTCAGGTCACCAGCTGCAAACAGTGAAATAGTTGATGGAAAACCTTCTCCAACTCATTTTAGTCCTTCATCAGAACTAGCTTCTGATGGAATTAGCAGCCAGCAAGAAGAGAGTCATTCTATTTTATCCAGCAAAGGATTTGTTGCTGAAAGGACAGTTGATTATTTTGAGAATTCAACTGTACCATCTGGCATTGTTGATGGAAAAAAACTTGCAGGAGACTTTTCTCCAACTCAGATAAACACAAATCCTTTTATGTTATTTAAAGATGATACCAAAATGTCAATTTCTGAAGGAACAGCATCTGATAAGTCTGCCACTCCTGTAGATGAAGTCATAGCTGAAGATACGTATTCACATATAGAAGGTGTGGCCTCTGTTTCCACTGCATCTGTTGCTACTAGTTCATTCCCAGAGCCAACCACAGATGACGTGTCCCCTTCTCTACATGCTGAAGTTGGCTCACCTCATTCCACAGAAGTTGATGATTCATTGTCCGTATCTGTTGTCCAGACCCCAACCACATTCCAGGAAACAGAAATATCACCATCTAGAGAGGAGTGTCCTCGACCAATGTCTATTTCTCCACCAGATTTCTCACCTAAAACAGGAAAAGCTACCACACCACTTCAGGAGCTGAGGTCACCTGAACAATCCACAATGGAATTCAGCCAGGAATCACCAGAACAATCTTTTGCTATGGACTTTAGCAGGCAATCTCCTGAGCACCCTGCAGTTGCTTCAAGTATGCTCCATATATCTGAAAATGGACCCACGGAAGTTGAATACAGCCCTTCAGATCCTCATGATTCTTATTTTGGTAACAAAATGTCCACTGACAATGAATACTACACTGCAGACAAAAAGAATGAGCAGGCAGCAGCAGAATCTCAGGTGGAGGCCTCCCTATCTACTTCTTCAGCGCACACACCTTCACAAGTTTCTTCTCCTTTGAAAGAGGAAGATTCCCTGAAAGATGTAATTGAAAATACAGACTTGCCTCTGTACTCTCCACCAATTCTTGAACACATGCATTTCATGGAAGAAATTAATTCCCCTGAAACAGATGTTTCCCCATTAACTCCCACTCCATCATCACTGAGACAGTCACCTGGTGTTACAGACTCCACATTAACAATCAAGGAGTCTTCCGGTGATTACCGCTCACCATCACCATCTCTACAGTTTTCATCTGATGCACCATATAGTTTTCAGTCAAAGATTTCACCCCATTCAACAGTAAAAGAGCCCCATAGCCTGCATAGCACAAATCCATTTGCTTATGCCACTGATATAGATGACAGGGATCAAATGGGTGACATATGTGAAGCCTACAGGTATTCCAGTGAAGCAAATGATAGGTTTGATACAGCTGAGAAATTATCTTTTGCAGAAGCCCGACAAGATGTTGACCTATGTCTTGTAACTGCTTGCGAATATAAGCACCCAAAAACAGAACTGTCACCTTCTTTTATTAACCCAAATCCTTTAGAATGGTTTGCTAATGAAGAGAATGCTCAAGAACAAGAAAAGCCATTAGCCCAACTTGGAGGTGGTCAACCACCTTCAGGAGGAAAACCTAAAGTTCGCCAGTGTGATGAAACCCCTCCAACTTCTGTTAGTGAGTCAGCCCCATCTCAAACAGACTCCGATGTACCACCGGAGACCGAGGAATGTCCTTCTATAACAGCAGATGCAAACATAGACTCAGAAGATGAATCTGAGACCATTCCTACAGATAAAACAGTCACATATAAACATATGGATCCACCTCCTATTCCTGTTCATGATCCAAGCCCCTCTCCACGGCACCCAGATGTATCAATGATGGACCCTGAAGCGTTACCCGTTGAGCAGAATTTAGGAAAACCTATGAAGAAGGAAATAAAAGAAAAGACAAAAACTAAGAAAGTAGGCACCAAAACAAAATCATCATCTCCAGCTAGGAAAAGTGATGGTAAATCCAAGCTCTCAACTGCTTCTCCAAAACCAGGAACCATCAAAGAAACAGAGAAGAGTTCTAAGTCTGTTTCTCCTAAGAAGAAAGATTCTGTAGAAAAGGCACCAAAGGGTTTAAACCAAGATGTAAAAGCCTCAAGACCTGATGAGAAAGATAAGGATACCAAGAATGCTACAAATACAACAGCCACCAAATCTGCAAAGACTGGAACCACAGGTGAGCAAATCAATTTACTGTTTAAACATTCCATTATAACAGATAACTTTAGCTTTTCTTGAAACAAATTGACACATATGAACACATTAGTTTTCATCATGTAATAATGTATGCATTATGGCTTTGTCGAGTAGAAAAGTATTGCCAATATATTTGCAACTGTAACACTGCTATAGAATTAGTGAATAACATTTAACTAATCATGATAGTGTCTTCCCATCCCATTCTTGGACAAAACTGATAAACCATAAAAAGTAGAGAAAACAAACCAGTATTCACATCACACCGTTGTACTAACAACTCTTTTAAAATGGATATCGTATAAAGAGTGGTTCAAAAGTCAGGAACCACAATACTTGGAGTACCTTTAAAGGATCACCAGAACCACCAGAGCTTAATGTAACAAATTATTCTTGCGCAGAAATCCTGTCCTCACAAGCTCAACTATACAAACAAACACTACTTTTTTTCTGAGAAAGGGCAGTGTATACTTTGCTGCCTGAGGCCACCTCTAGTTGTCACTCAGACAGCCATTAGAGGGACTTCCTAGATGGGATCCTGCAAAGATCGCAGGACTGACATTCAGCGTCTCCGCTCTCTGCATGAAGATGCCAATTGCTCCGCATTTTAATCCATAAACAAAATGTATTTATTTAATTTGGATTTGTGCAGTGGAGTGCCCCTTTAATCTTGGCTAAAGTTGAAGAAATAATATTCCTATGATATTTCTTATGGGGCTCTTACTACCTTCACATGATATATTTGCTAAACAGTGAATTTTAATGAATTGAAAAACTAAGTCCAAAAGTTAAACAAACAATGGTGATTTTCAGGAATGTGGCTATAGCTGCAACTTGGCTATTTTAGCTTACAATTTGATTTACTATTCACTACACACCAAAACTTGATGAACTAAGCCCACAGTTTTTTTTAGCTTTTCTGTTATTTTTTTTTTTCTATTCTGATAAAATCACTAGCCACTGGCTACTTAGATAAGCATATCTTTGAAGAACAGATTACTTTTCACTTTTCTCCTGGATGAAATAGTCCACATCTTCACAGTTTAACTATTAGTCAGGTTATTTGCTAAACCAGAAATTGTGTAAAATTGATCAATGCAATAGATAGCTGAGCAGAAAAAGAGCCAAACAGCTATATTGGAGTATTTTCCCAATTTAGATATTTTTGCCTAATATTTGCAATTATCTTGTACCAATTTCCAGCTAAATAAATAACTCCATCTGTAACTTCTGCCAGATTCATTACATAAACAGGAATTTGTAGTTTATTTATCAGCTTTTGGAACTGAGCTTAACAGAACTCTATATTAATGGAAATTAATTTTATTTTTTTTAAAAATGTGCGAATACGTAAATTTCTATTGAAAAATCTCTATTTTATGACATCAAATGAAATAAAATATACAGCTGTTTGTTGTGACTATTAATTATACTACATTAAATCCATATATTTCTACCTAGGTACATATGCTAAATAATATTGTATTGCAGTGTCTTGTAATACTTTGAACTTTTCATTACAGGAAGTGGAACCAGTAAAACATCAAAATCATCTGCTGTACCTCCTGGACCACCAGTGTATTTGGACTTGGTGTATGTCCCAAATCACAGCAACAGCAAAAATGTAGATGTGGAGTTCTTCAAACGGGTCCGATCCTCGTATTATGTCGTAAGCGGGAATGATACAGCAGCCGGAGAACCCAGCAGAGCTGTTCTGGATGCTCTTCTAGATGGAAAAGCTCAATGGGGGAGCAATATGCAGGTAGGGTTCTATCTCCGTAACAACCAGTTCCAACATGCTCAATGGGGGAGCAATATGCAGGTAGGGTTCTATCTCCGTAACAACCAGTTCCAACATGCTCAATGGGGGAGCAATATGCAGGTAGGGTTCTATCTCCGTAACAACCAGTTCCAACATGCTCAATGGGGGAGCAATATGCAGGTAGGGTTCTATCTCCGTAACAACCAGTTCCAATGTGCTCAATGGGGGAGCAATATGCAGGTAGGGTTCTATCTCCATAACAACCAGTTCCAATGTGCTCAATGAGGGAGCAATATGCAGGTAGGGTTCTATCTCCGTAACAACCAGTTCCAACGTGTCTCTTATTTTACTAATTAACGTTTCATATGACCATATGTATGACCTTTTAAGAACTATTTCTATTGACATTTTAACCTTTGTCCCTATTCACATTCATTATAGTTAAACATCACATTTTTCATTCTTTGTGGGTTTTTAAATGCTCTTTTAAAAATACTTTTTGCATAGAATTCCTTGGAAATATCACATCTGAACATCTGAAGTCAAGTGCATAGTTTCATGGGGATATCAGGGCTTGGCTAGACTATCACGGCCACTCTGATTAAAGAGGCTAACAAGGAAGGTTGATAAAGCAAACAGAGGAAACTTGCATTGAGATGAATATGTTTTTTGCCTATTTGTAATGCATTCTCTATATGTTAATTAAAAATCCCCCCCATAGTGTAACTTTCTGATAAATGAACCGTGTGTATTTCAAATAAGGATTATTGCTCCATCCTCTGAAGGTTACAATGTCAAAATGTCTCAGTGCTTCACTCAGCTAGCCATTTAAATGATTAATTGTCGGATATCTGATCAATAAATAACATTTCCAGAAAGCTGCTTGTAGCTACCACATTTCATCCTTCAACCTTTCCTTTTTAATCTGCATTTCCCATGTTATCTTAAAGGATAGCAGTTAAAGCAATTTAATCATGCCAATCCATTTAACTAAATTAAAGGGAAGCAAGACCTAAACATAGGTATGCTTAATGTTATGGTTGTACTGATTTTTTTTTTATTTTAAGTGAAAAAATAAATCTTTAGGTAAAAAGCAGCAAATGTAGTCAAATAAAACTCCAATGATCCATCATGCTGATTTCTTGTGTTAAAGTGGAACTGTCACATTTCTGATACTCACCATAGTAAATGCCCTATTAGAAACAGTTCACCTTTAACGTGGTCTATACAATTATGTAAAAATCTCAAGGATGCACCTCCGTTTTATTAGAAAATAAAATACTGAATGCAGATTTCTCTATTTTTAGCTGTTCCTATTTAAGGGCTGTATGTTTATTTAGAGCTGAGTCAAATTTTATTTTTGACTCTAAATTATTGATATTAATTGAAATCAGCATTCAGTTAGAGGCCTAAAAGGGGAATCATCACTTCTGTGGAAAATTAAACCGCATAATTGAATGAAACACTAAAAATCACCTACAATTCTTACTAATCTTTCTTCGTGTTATTCTAAAAGTATGACAAAGATTTAGCAAGTGTCATCACAATCTAGTTTAGTCTTGGCACAGCCAAGGCACACAATGAGGAGGAAGCTGAAATATAGTTTTTTTTCTCCTCTTCCACTAACCATACTGAATGGCAGAAGAGGGTAACATTGCTTGACAGAAAGCCAAGAAGAAGGCGTCCGGGGCCAATCAATTCAGTAACAAATATTTGTTAAACACAAGGCATAAGTAAAATAGTAAAGTAAAGTATGTGACAATTCCGCTTTATGTATTATTAATCTAATGGGTCTTGCCCTTTTAAAAGTGCCATTTGAATACCAATATTTCATGTACACATTTGAATTAGACCTTATGAAAATCTAATTTTAGTTGGATTCAAAAAACCTTTACATCAGCGCTGTACAGCCTGTATTGAATGACTATCTCTATATATCTTCAAGTTATAAGTGGAACAACCTAATTGCGTACTTATTGGGGCCCTATTATTGTAGGCAGCACTACTTAAAATGAGACAATTGGAGAAGGGTGCTTTCAGTCCCTATGCTGGAATTGCCAATTTGAAGCAATGCACTTTTTGGATATCGAAGGAACTGTTTGATGTGAACATGGCTGTGGCCACATGAATATACCTCAATGGTATTCAGTTCAGCACTTTATCTATCCAGTCAAGATATACACAGTACAATTCAGTTGTTCTACAGAGGGTGTAGGACTTTCCTCTGTCTTCATACTGATTGGTTATATACATTACATGACTCCAGTCAGGTGGCCCCTTTCTACGCCCATAGAATTCCAATAGTGGGTTCAGCTGTTTGGTTACACAACAACTGCAGTAATCTATGTTTTTAGATCCAGGCATAATCATAATTCCTTATTCATCCCTCTTTCTGTATGTTGTTTGTCTGTGTCTTCTAATCGGTATATAATTCAAGGAAGATCTGAGTTACTTATAAATAAATAAAAATACTCTTTTTTTTTTTATACTAAAGGTAACTTTAATTCCAACCCACGATTCTGAAGTTATGAGGGAGTGGTACCAGGAGACCCACGAGAAACAGCAAGACCTCAACATCATGGTGTTAGCCAGCAGTAGCACGGTTGTAATGCAAGATGAATCTTTCCCTGCATGCAAGATTGAACTGTGAAAAGGCCACCTCACACCCCATCACATAACTCAACGGATTTCAAGAAATGTCACACAGAGATTACAAATGTCTTATTAAACTGCAAAACTATTAATTGCCCAATGCTATCCTGTGTCCTGCTGACACCTATGCCAATATTCCTACCAACATGTCAAGTTACAATGTTTCCATCACACAACACTGCAAGTTAACCCATCCAGGTTTAAAATACAGGTTTGTACAACATGCTCTTTCACCACCATAATTTCCTCTAGCCCAAAATGGAACTCTCCTATTGGTTGAGAGGACAATTTCAAGAATGAGAAGATGGGAGAGAAGATGAAGAACCAGTACTACGGAATATTTCGTTTTTATCACTGAAATGGTACATTTATGTGGAATGTCTTAGTTTGTAATAAGTTACAGGTACAATAGTGGCCTTCATGCAGCCTTTTCACAGATGAAGCATCAGTAGCATGTCATCATCACTTAAAGAGGGTGGAATCCAGGGTAGGACAGTTTGTTGAGGGTGTCTTCTAGAGCTGTTGGTTGCATTTCTTATAAAGTGAGTAGTCTATCGAAGAGGCAGGATGAAATATGAAAAATACAGCTTGCATGCTTAATGTGAACAACAGTATATCTTTTAAAGGATCCTTTTCTGATTGGTGGTGGACCTTTTGAGAATATCCCAGATTTAGGTAGGCCAGTCTCGGTTTAGAAAATAATAAAAATGGTTTGTATAACTATTGTGTACCATTACATTGTAAAGAAGGACAGGCATGGGGCTACACGAATAAAGAACAATTGTTGGGCAAAGCCTCTAAAAGTGGAACAGTAACCACAGAGATAATTAAATTATCCCACTCATTGTTCCACCCATGGGATGTTTATCCCATAATTGTCTTTCTTTCCATATATGTAGCTCCATATTTCAGGAGTGTAATGTCAATGCACAGTGTATGCATTGATTTTGCTGCTGAGCTAATGAGCTAGATTAATTTTGCACCTTCCAATCGAAACCAAACACAAAAAAAGTCACTTCTCTCTCTCTCTTTGTTGTAAAGTGTGACCTGTGTTTTGAGTTTAAATGCCGAAGTTTCTGTTAGAATGTTCACCCTCGGAGATTTAGGAAAAAGCAGACAAGTTGTGCATTGACTCATACTGGTGGCTCGTGTTGGATTTAAACTACAAATGAAGGTAATTGTAACTTCGAACATACTAAGTGTATTGTGTCGAAGGTCGGGGAGCCGACTAGTCTCTATCCAGTTTGGTCACTAGTCAGCCAGCCTTTGACTGAGTTTCTTGAGAGCTTCAGTTTGACTGCAGCGAGAGAGCCAAGCGTATCTTCTCTTGATTTAGTCCCACAGAATTCACTCTTAACCATCAAATCTTACACATTGCACATTTTACTTTGCAGTCAGTACACAGTAGCAGAATACCAAAGCATTGGGAGTACATTCAGCAGATGAATTGCCTTAGGAAGTGATATGAATGTACAAACATACTTAATGCACTTATTTTTTAATGTAAGTCAACAAGTGTACAAACCAACTATGGTATGCAAGATTGCAGTTTCCACTGTGTGTGCATGCGTGTGCGAAAATAAATGATCATCAGATGGGCACACCTTGGCATGAGTTAAGTCTCTGAATCTGCATTGAAAGCCAGGCATGGACACATTTTACCTCCTGCCAAGAATGAGCAACCCAACTCAGCAGTGACATTTTCTGTTGATTAATGCTCCTGTTTTGTGAAATGTTAGGTTTAAAACATTGAGAACAAATGTACAGTCATTTTTATTTTTTTTGTCATTATGTGTAGTTAATTACCCGTAAGGTAATTAGTTTACAAGCAAATTTAAGTCAATTTAAAATGGTTTTGATTGCAGTCACTATATTATGACTGCTAACAAAAACAGAAGGCATTAAACAATAGCATCATATAGGTTTTTTCACGAGGGTCATGCACATCGATCAAATGCGAGTTAGTTACATCCATTACAACGTTTAAACCATCCATCCAAGAGAATAGACATGTCTGGATTCATTATTTTAACTGGAAAAAATTGGACCTATTCTATTTAGTTCATTTTGACCCTATTCATTAAAATTGTTTTTTTTTTCCACTTGCCATAACTCACTGTTATTTAACAAAATACTTTTTTTGTTACCAATTTAATATATTTACAAAAATATGTACAGATAATTCTTTAATACCAATTGGATCACGTTTCAAATTAATCCCAATTGCAGCATGTCCCGAGGCTACATTGTGTTGGAATCTATTGATGGATAACAATACAATCTTGCATGTTCCACACATAGTGGGAATGATGGGCTCGAAACGCAAGATAAGAATGCTTTGTGCAGGCTTCTTTTAATGTTTTTTCTACCATCACGCAATGCCTGTTTAGTGTATATTCAATTCTGGACTCCACTTAGTGAATATGTGCGTTTTTTTTTTTTTTTTTTACTTGTATTTATTTCGGTCTAGATTTAAGAATTTTGCACTGCAAGTGTCAATGAATTTTGATACTTTTGTGGGCTTGTTTAGTCCATTTAATGCTGTGAATTAGGACAAACACACTTGTTTGAGGTTTGTTATATTATATGTGTGAACTTTTTTTTATAAGCAATGATATTTATTGCTTGGCTATTTATGTAAGAATATCCATTGTTTTATGCCATTTTGTTATATATATATTTTTTTTTATCTTTTGTGCGAGAGATGCCTTTTTTGTTCCCAGAGCACCCACGGCTGGTGCTTCTGGTTAGAAATTGGTTAACCACAAAGGTCACAATGATTATTTATATTATTTCTGTTTGAGATTTTGCTTTATTTCTGGAAAGCTGATATGACAATTGACATGATTGTTCTTGTCTTTCATTTACCATTAAGGAATAATCACCAACACATCGCTTTTAATAGAAAAATGTTCTTGTAGCATACTTTCCAAAACTGGAATAATTCATTCGATAAATTATATTGCATCTATGGTTATTTGAACCAAATGGGATCACGGACCAAACCCCCAGTGTTGTTGAAGAGAGGGAAACATATTCTGATTACTAATTACCATCATGAGTATTATGATGGAATATGATAAAGAGGGGTTGAAGGTTTGACTCACATCTCAGTTGCCCCTCTCTCTTTATGTACAACTGAATGAAGAGTGTAAAGTAATTACGCAAATTGCCCTGGTTTGCAGGTGGCGGTTGGTTAATTAGACCATTATTAATTTGATGTTATTGTTAAATCGTCAATACACATGGAAGGAGATTGTACCGTGGAATTCTTCCCATAAATTTCTGAAGATATACATGGTACATGTAAATTTTGCCTGGGCAAATAGGTAAAATCGAAATATCCGTTTCATATATAAATTCACTGCACGCTCACGAATAAGATAAGAGGTCAAAAGACAGAACTAGCAGTGTTAACTCTAGCTCAGCAAGATATGTTATGATAGGAAAAATAAACAGGAGTGGACAAAAAAAAACCCACTACGGTAGAAAATGATGGGGGTACTTTGCCAGTCCTTAAAGGGAGAAGTAGGAGGTCTGTCTTGTTCGTCAATGATAGGCTGAGGCATTGCACATTTGGACACATTTAGTAGAACTAATATTACCCATGACTCATTTTTAAAAAGCATTTGGTTCAATAACATATAATGCTATAGATTTACTTTTTTCTCTAACATTAAAATATGCACATGCTTGCATCTGATAATAGGCACTTAAACACTTTACAGGAACTATCCTGTCATGTAATATGCATTGTAAGTTCAGACACTCCATTTTAATCTAAGGTATATGAAACAAGATGTCCATGGCTAGAACAGAAGCTAAGTTGAAAAGCCATAAGCAGGGATGTAAAGAATAACAGGGTTATATACTAAGGTGAGAATTCAAGGTGAATTTTTAGGTGATTTTCATATTCAAGGTCAAATAGCCAAACTGGATACATTCTTTAACTCATCTTTGCTTTTCACTTGGCTATTCTGATCTTCACGTTGAATTATCACTTTAGTGAATAGCCTTATAATGTAATAACATTTTCGGAAAAGAACTGCCTTTATATTAATTCCCTGTGTCTGTAAGGGCTGTATGTTATTATCATAGTCAATGTTGATAAGTTGTTGATTCTAAAATACCCAAATTGATTGTTTTTGAAGAATGTGTTTTGGGTTAAGTATGGATCAATAATGCTATATGTATAGATCAAATTCCAGCCGTCAGTAGTTGATACAGTTGGTTTTTTGATGGGATTATTCACTAATCTTAAAATTTAATGCAACGTTCAGTTGCACATTTTATGCCAATACATCAGATCTTAAAACATTCCCTACTTTTGGATACTTTTATTCTTCAACTCTTGGCCTAAAATTTTTATTTTCGATTTAGAGAATAACCAAGGGGTAGCTTGACATTGTTGCAACCAGTTTATGGATGAGGCCTACATGTCGTCAGACAAATGTTAGGTTTTCACATTAAAATGTGTCTTCTTTCTAAATAAAGATTTGGAGGTCGATTGAGGAATGAACATGATTATTACGTAATCTACTGTGATATGCTGAAGGCACGGCAATATTTTCCAAGTGAACCTGGCATTAGGACAGTGTTGCGATCAGGTGTACAATACATTAACAAAAAATATATCGACGTATTGTTTTTGTATCTCTAAACAGTAAATTGTGGTTAAATGGTAACAAGATCACCTCTTTTTTTGTTTTGTGAATAGACCACGATAAATAGATCTGCTTTTATGTACTATATTCCTGTCTAAAACTGAATAATCTACATTGTGTTAAAAAAAAAAAAAAAAAAATGTCTGTTCTGGGATGTGAGCGACTTCAGAAAATATGCAAATCTCCTGAAGTACGGTATGTGTATTTGAGATTGATTACGTCACTGAGAAGGAACATAAAAACCGCTATTTTCCTGATAGATTTATGCTCTTTACACTTGTCCCAAACATATGTGCCTGGTTCACTTTAAATTTAGGAATCAATTTAAACTTTATATCTTCAGGATCTCTCCAGCCTCAAAAATGTTTTGTGTTTTAAATGTGCTGGGAATTGAAAAAAAAAAAATGAACACAACCAACAGGGTTTTACTTCTTAATATATGTCAATGTTGGCCAATGAAAACCACAGTCCTTATTCTTCATCACCGAAGAGCCAAATGATTGAGAAGTCATGTTATCCAGATAATCTGGCTCATGACACGGAAGGTAATGACCAGTTAGAACTTGAAAAGGAATCCAATATTGTGTGTGTCTGGAACTGTTAGTGGAACGTCACAGATAAAGTGTGCAATGGACAGACTTTCCATCTTTATCGTTAGCAGCCAAACCAATATATTAAAGAACAGGATGCACTCATTCCATAGACTGTAGTAAACCTTTCTTCATGGTCTTGATTTACTGTAATTCTAATAAGACTTCAAAAAAAATTGAAAGGAATCCAGAATACAAACCAATGAAAAGGAATTTATTAAAGCTTCTCTGCACTAATATAGCTCCGGGCTTCAACGCTTAAGAGCTGCAAGTAACATTCACTCAAGACTGGGCTGTTATCAATAGAAAACAATTGCATCAATGAACTATCTTATGCTTAAACACGTATGCATGCAGCCATTTATCTTCCAGACGCTGGAGGGAGACAGTCTTGTGGCTGAGAAGCTATTCACACTCTCGTTCTGAATGGTGTTTGTGTCAGTCTGCAGCTGTGTATGGTATAGTCTTATAATCCCGCATCACCTCTATTCTATCAATTCATATCTAATGTAGAACATTAGTTGACAGTGGAGTAATATGTAGTGCTTTTATGATATTTGTGTGCAATACCCCACTTCCACTGAGAATATTTGATGTAACGGAAACAAATCTGGTTCCACAATAAAATACAAATGTAGTAATAGCTTCTTCTTGTGTCATTCATTGAGATGGGGGGCTTGGGGGTGAATTGGTCTGTATTGCTGGAATATTGGTTTGGGAGATGGTCTATGAGCAGAAAATTGACATGGAATTAGACTTAAATTAGGCCTTAATCTAAATTGCCTTCTCAATTGGTGTGGTATCTAAAGCTGAGATGACCTTTCTCCATGATCACTCCAGTGATCCAAGCCCATGTTGAATTCTAACTTATTTTATAATATTCAAAAGAAAGCAAGAAATACAACCAGTCCTCATTGCTTGTAGTATGAGGTGCCATTCTATTTTAGCTTAAAGGGACACTATAGTCACCAAAACAACTTTAGCTTAATTAATCAGTTGGTGTATAGATCATGCCCCTGCAGTTTCACTGCTCAGTTCTCTGCCATCAAGGGGTTAAACCACTTTGTTTATACAGCCCTAGTCACACCTCCCTGCATGTGACTTGCACAACTTTCCTGAATACTTCCTGTAAAGAGTAATATAATGTTTATACTTCCATCATCTGTTTAATTTAGAATTTTCTTATCTGCTGCTCTATTAATAGCTTGCTAGACTCTACAGGAGCATCCTGTGTGTAATTAAAGTTTAATTTACAGAGCAAGAGATAAAAACTTTTAAAGTAAGTTACATCTGATTAAAAATGAAACTATTTTGTTTTCATGCAGGCTGTGTGAGTTACAAGTAGGGGAGGTGTGGCTAGGGCTGCATAAACAGAAACAAAAGTGATTTAACTCATAAATGGCAGTGAACTGAGCAGTGAAATTTCAGAGGCGTTATCTATCCACAAAAACGGCTTCATCAACAAATCAGTTTTCCAGAAACTGCAGAATCCTGCAGTGCCCCCCTCCCTCCCATGTTGCTGAAGGGGTTAAAACCCCTTCAGTGACTTACCTGAATCCAGTGCAGAGGGACATCATGGGTCAGGCTCCGCCCCCACTCCTCCCCTGCCAACATCAGCTGGCGGGGGAGACCGAATGTGCAATCGCGCATAAGAAACCCATAGGAGCATTATTCAATGTTTTCCTGTGGGGATTGTGGCGATGCTGGAGGTCTTCATGCATACTGTGAGGACATCCAGCGTTGTTTAAAACACTTTTTGGGTTTTTAAGAACCCGGAAGTCCCTCTAGTGGCTGTCTGATAGTATAATAATAATTACACTTGCAGGGTTAAGGGTGATGGGAGTTGGCACCCAGACCACTCCAATGGGCAGAAGTGGCCTGGGTGCCTGGAGTGTCCCTTTAAGCTAAAGTTGTTTTGGTGACTATAGTGTCCCTTTAACTATTTCTTTGAAGTTCCTCTGGAGGCAACACAAAATGGGTGTGTCTAGTAAAGTTGGCCTGTTTGACATTTATTGCAACTATTCTTTTAAAATAATTGAAATATTATTGTGGGGTTCATAAGTATTTTTACGACATACTCTGCTTCAAGCCAATGACCTCTGATACATTAAAAGAACCTATGGACAGACATCCCGATATAGATGTTGTTTGTTGCAAAAGTCATAATTTTAAACTATTACGTAGATTCAACAATGCGATTTCGGATTTGTGATGGTGGTGCAAGTTGGAAGTGGGCTCCCTGTTCCACATCTGAGGGAAATACACACACGAAACAATCTTGGGGGATATATCACCCCTTCAGCCAGCAGAGATGCTGCTTCATCATACTTTGATGTCAGTATCCCAGTTTAAAAAAATCTCTAACCAAACACCTGCTCAATGCAGCTAAATCTTTTATCCCGGTCCACTGGCGGCAGAAAGGGGTGCCGACGCTCTAACAGTGGATTGCTAGCTTTATGTTCATATAGTAAATGAAGGCTTTCAAGGTTTCCCTACGAAATAGGACTGACTAATTTCACACCACATGGCTCCACTGACTTGATTCAAAATCAGAGGACCTGAATCGAGTGTATATTGATGGCCAATAGAATCAACTGTTCCTTTACTTTCCCTAGTCAGCCCACAATTTTTCCTTTCTCTCCCCTTCACACATTTATCTTAATCCCTGTGTCCAACAATACTCAAATAGGTCCTGGGCCCACAAAAATGTCATTGTTACAAGAGGGTATAATATCATATTAAAATGACAAAATAAAAAAATATAAATTTAACACAGAACAGGTAAGAAATATAATTAACCATGATTACAGGTGCATACTGTATTGAGATTTGTTGACAGAGATCTCTTAAAGAATTTTAAACGGGAAGATTTCATTGCAGCCAGGAGGTTATTCCATAATTGCGATGCTCTGTAGGAAAATGAGGATCGAGCCACTTTATTTTTGTATTGCAGTATGCTATAATGCTAGTACTGGATCGGAGGTTATGGGAGGTGGGAACAGCTGGGGAGAGCATTCTAGTCTTGTAAGGTGGGAGCTTCCCAGAAAGGCTGAAAAGATGAAGGGTACATCTGAATTCAAATCAAGGAAAATAGCTCCAGTTAGGCCTCCTTGTTCCATTCTAGTTTGGATGTCATTGCAAAAGTTTAAGAGGGCAGTTGTAGATGAGTGATATTCCTTGCCGTATACATTCTGGTTATTACAGAAATCATTTTAGCACGTTATAGTCAATCTCTCTATTTGTGCAACAGATCTACAAGCTGGAATCTTTGACACAAAAAACGGCCCATGCTATACTGATCCATAGCCTCAGCATGTTATTTTGGAGTGACTGGATCACTTTAAAATTTATCAAAACATACATGCTTAAACTAAATATTTAAATGAATTAAAATTTTTCAACTGCGTTATCAGTCTTCCACAATTATACTTTAAAGGTGGTATGAAATAGTAAAAAGCCCAAAGTGGAATTACAAGCTATTATGATATTAGACCCTTCAGATCTTTTCAGTGGGATTGCTGTAATTAAGCTCCTACAAAGACTTTGCTTCTTATCATGAAAAACAGTTCATCCCTAGGGTAAAAATGCTTTATTCATACAAAAAAACAAAACCAAGAACATATTAATATCATGTTCCATAATAAATCAAACATTTACAAAATTGAAAATAGATGCTAACCAGATCAAGAGACGTAAATGAAAAAGAACTGCAGGTTTTAGGCCAAATTAACAAAGCTGAAAAGACACATTTTTCCAATTTGACAACGTTGGCCTACTAATTACCGTGCCATTGTTATTCCTCCATAATCACAGGTTTAATGTATAAATCTGAATGTTTTAATAAGTGTACATTCAAATCCAGCACATGAAAGTATGAAATTGTGTTTAACAGTTGTTGTTCTGGTTTTTGTTTTTAAAAATGATATTTATCTAAATAGTTTTACTCTGATGTGATAACGATTACCTAAAAATACCCCCTGCTGGTTAAATAACCCTTTAAACACTTCCAGAGTAGAAGACACTCGGTGCTGGGTTGGGCTCCTTCTTCAACTGATGAGGGGAACCTAAAGTGCGTGCGTAGCGACCAAGGTATGTGCGTTAGGCCTTTCCCATAGGAAAGCGTTAGATCAATGGTTTCCGATGGGGCAAGATGCTGGATCTCATCATGCGCAAAATGAGGACACGCAGTTTCATTTGATGGAGTTAACTCTGGTAGACAGCCACTAGACGCAGTCTTCCCTGACATGTAAACATTGCTGTTTCTCTAAAACTGGGCTGAGTACCGAGGCAGTGCACACAGACCACTTTAATATGATTACGTGGTATATAGGGCGCCTGTAATGCTAATTAACTTACAATTCCCAAGATTCCTTTTTCACTCTGGATATCCTGAATAAACTCATGCAGTGACAATGATTACTGAATAATCGTGAATTCATCTCAAGTTGAGTTTTTGAGCAGACATCTGAGTAATTTCAGTAAGGATTTGCTATTCAATGGGACACAACAGTAACCATGTTTAAAGTAGTTCTTCATACGGAGTGAGATAATCTAAATTTATTTAAGATGGCAGCATTCATTACACATCATTTTTTCCCCCTGCAGAAATGTAATTTAATACAGATTTCTGCTCATTTTTGTTTTTTTAATATAGAACATATTTAAATAGTGTTTAATGGGACAAATACACTATAAAACATCAAAATAGAAAATGGGACGAGTTCATTTTAATTTCTTTTTGTATGTTTTTATAATTTCATGGGTAAATTAGAGATAATTACACAGTAGCAAGATGTTGCTGTTCTGCGGCTTCTTTGGCTGCCTGCCTGGCCTCAAACTCTTGTCTAGCCTTTTCTTTCATTTCTTTTTCTCTCGCATTAAGCTCGGTTCGTTCCCGTTGCCAGTCTTTGAGCTGCTCCTCGTATTTTTCAATATCTTCCTTTTCACACTCTGGCAGCTTTTCTTGCACATGTTGGGTGGTCAGGCTCAGCAGGCTGTCGGCTTCAATCATGCCAAGAGATGCAAGCTTTGCATTCAGCTCCTGATGGAACGATACAGAGAAAGAGAAAAATTGGAACCAATTATATACGATAACAACTACTAGCCCCACAGGCTACAAAGATAAAGCATCTAACAGGCAGCCGATCATACACAATTAGTACATAGTTAGCATTAGAGATTTGAAGCTCGGGGTGTGTTACAGAAAATGTGCTTCTGCATTAACATCTCGCACAAGTCACTTGTTTTTTTAATCCTACATGAACTTACGTTAAAATTCTCAATGAAAAAAATAGTTTTTTGTTCTGTTTTTTTATATAAATTTTTTTTTTTTTAAATCATTATTTTTGTTTATACATTCAGGTTCACCAGATTGAACAGAGCCCTCACCACCTGCTGTTCGTGAAAATTATTTGTATCCTATACCGGCTGTACAGCCCTGAATATACTGACACTGTAACAATATACTTATCTGAAGATTGCTTCTTCCACCTCCAGGACAACGTTAAATGAAAAGGATGGTTGCAAGGACAAATGCCAAGCTCCCAAAAATGACACGTGCGGCTTTCTTAAAATGCTTAATATGCAAAATGAACCACAGTACCCGTAGAATACCTCTTTGGTCACCTAAAGATGGGGTTGCTGTGCAT